CTTGGATCTATGTTTAGACTTATCACGGCCTTTTGAGTCCTGACCTCTGTCGATGTTTCTACCCTTGTTCTCTGTGACTAGAGCTTGATTTTCACAGTCTACATCTTTTCACCTTGCTTCTTCATTAAGCATACTGTCTTTTATCATCTCCAATGTCACCTTATAATCAGGAGCTAAATTAAGAACAATCACAACTAGAGTATTCCAGCTGTCTGGCAATGAACCTAAAAGAAATAACGCCTTTATTTCATCATCCATCTTAAGCTCCATAGTAGTCATCCGATTAAATATATCTTAAAAATAACTTAAGTGCTCTGTAATAGATCGTCTATCCCTGTACTATAAAGTTGTAAGCTTTTTAACAAGCATAACTGTATTCATACCTATTTTTCTCTCATACAATGCTACCAATTTTTCTCAAACAATGTGAGCATCTGACTCCTGCGTTACATGATGGAACACGCTGATATCAACTCATTTTTTTATTGTAGCCAGCGTCTTTCTACCTAGCTTCTTCCAGCTTTCATCTTTCATATCTGTTGGTTTAGCCGAATCACCCAATACTGGCTCATACAAATCTTTGCAGTATAGATGATCCTCCATCATAGGCTTTCAAATTGAATAATTCATGTTGTCAATTTTATCATGGAACTTGTATCACCTTCTATGATTCCAAACAGAATTTACTTCTATCTTAGGTTGCTTTTATATCGATGTCTCAAAATAACCCTCGCTCTGATACCACTTGTTGCGCCTGAAGCAATAATCACAATAATACAGAAGCAATAGACAACAATCAATAATCAAATACGCAGAAAAATAAAGCACACCAAGATTTACGTGAAAAACCCTCCAGTGTAGAGGGAAAAAATTACGGGCCATCAGAAAAATCTTTACTATCAAATAATAGTTATACAAAGTTCTTCTCTAGCTAAAACTAGAGCTAATCAACAACTAGAGAAACAATTGGAGAAATCTCACCAAATAAGTGATTCAACAAATACATCCTGGATTTGTTCCTAAAGAGCTTCAAACCCGATCTTCACCGTTCAGAATGTAGAACTCTGAATCATAAACCTCCTGACAAGGTTCCAACTCAATCGGACCACGGATCGACTTTCGTTTCACCAACTCTCCCTTTTTCTTTTTCTCTCTCTACTTTTCTTGGCTTTTTTTCTTTTTCTGCTTGATTTTCGACACACACCTAAAACAACCCCACATCTTTTTTATTAAGTAACTAGGGCTCTGTGTAAAATAAAAGATCAAGGCCTATGGCCTTTACTTGATCCAAAACTACTTACATGGGACTGAACCCCATTTTCCTAACAAAATATACAAAAGCTGAATGATTTTGGAGCTTTGATTGTTTTGATGAGGTCCCATTATGTGAAAATTTGCTTATTTCATTTTGCATTTTATCACCCAAAGGCAACATGATTGCTGTAGTTATTTTTACACAATTCTGGTGATGGAGCAAACAAAATAGTTGTAAGAATTGAAATTAAAAACGGTGGAAAATAGGAATGCAATTATCCAAACAAGATGAACCAAGAATTTAAAAATTATAAACTTTTTATAAAAATCATTTGCTTTATTGATGGTATATGAGAAATTATTTACTTTGAATTTAGAAAATTTTCACCCTGAAACTTACATGTAATTGTGGCAGCCCATATATAAATATGGGTAAGATTTTTTAACAAATGGGAAAGATTTAATAACCTTTTAACTTAAATTTTTGAGTTAATTAAGATGTAACAGGTTTGATATAGTAATTTCCCAAAGCATATGCATGCTGGCTAACTATTTTAATTATTGTAATTTCATGTGCTCATTACTCTAATGACCCAAATAGTATTTCTAAGTATCACACTCAATGCTCCTTCGGCAGCATGATGGACAAGAATTTTCATCGTGAATTTTATCATAAAATGACATCATGATGAATGAAAATTCATTCTATTACTTTAATATCATCAACCTACTTTGGTTTCACTTTCACCAATCTGAGAAGTTAGAAAAGTCTAACCAAAACCAAATATTGTTTGCCATAGTTCAAGTTCAAGTATGCGAAATTAGGTTCGCTAAACATCTTTGATTTTGGTTTAATTTCGGTTGAAACTAAATCTACTTAAGGATCAAGTTATCTATTTAAATTTGAAAGTTCGTTTAAATTTTAAAATTTTTGGACAAAAAATTAAAATTTATTAAATAAATTAGAATATAATTTTTATATTTATTTAAATTTTAAATCAAGTCATGAATAAAAAAATTAAAATTTGAGTCTGATTCAATTCGAATAAATTATATATAATTAAAATATTATAGTTATATAAATATATATTTGTGAATTTTTATTTTTTATATTTTTATTATATAAATTAAATTTTTTTAAATTTAAAATATTGAACAGAATCAAATCTAAATAAATATACAAAATATTAATACTAAACATAAGTGCAATTCAAATCCAACTTGACCCGAGCTGACCAATTAACACTTGTAATTGCATTAACCACCCCACTATTTACATTCGTGGTAGGAGAAAATGAAAGTCAAATTCTATTCGCTCCAATGTTGAAAAGCAAAGCAGGTGCAAAATCACCATCAGCGGTATTTTCGCACCGACGCATCAACGAAATCAAGAATCAAAGGATTAGTTCTCTTGATATTTGTGTAAAAAAGAAAAAATAGTAAAAGGATTTGCTTAATTTACATGTCCCATGTGAAAAAAGCAACTCATTCAATTAGTTAAAGTTATTATTCACTGATCACTTTTAATTTTTATTCACTGGTTAAACAGTGTTTGAACAAGCTTGAAATGATCCATAAACCTATGAAAAAAAAATTATATTATTACTCCATTTAAATCATATCATATACTTTTATTTTTTAAAAAATTTATTTATTACACGTAACATCTTAGAAGTAAATGGTAAGTATTTATTTCAGCAAAATTAATGGTTTTTTAATATTTGAAACTATTATGAATTATAGCTATTAGCATTTCAATAAAACATTAATAATTTTTTAATTAATAAGTGATTATGTTTAAAATATGATTATATTACATAATTTAAATAAAAAAATTAATGCGTGATCACGTTGATTTGATCTGAAATTTGGGGTTTGTAATATTTTATTGGACATGCAATTTAATCTTTATTATTAATATCACCCTAATTCCTCCCAAAAAACAGGGTCAAATGCAGTTGGTTTTAATTTAGCTTTGACAGCTGACCTAACTAGTGTTGTCCTATTTGACTAATTCAAATGCTTAAGCCACACGATTGGTCGAGCACTGAGAGCGTCTCCGCGGAGTCGCAGTCATTAGTCAAGACTTGAACTTCAAGTTGGAGTGTAAGGTTGTTTCTTAAGCACCAATGTTCCAATATCCTTTTGTAAGATAAATAAAAAAACCTGTTAGGCTGAATTCGGATATTAATTTAATTGATTTAAATAATTATTTTAAAAAAATAATATTTAATAAATTTATAATTTACAGTTTTTTTATTATTAAATTACATCTTTTTATGTATAAAAAATTATAATATAATTTCGAAGTGTTATATATTAAAAATTATAATTTTATCTTATTATTATCGTATCGAATGAATATAAATATAAATTTTTTTTATATTTAATTAAGATAATTAATTAATTAAATTTAAATATTATTGGGTTCAAAATGAGGACGAAGAAGGTAAAATTCGTCTTGTGAATTACTCGATACTAGACATATATAAAATATATATTTTTTCATTTCTCCTTATTTTTTATAATTAAAATATTATAACTTATAAAAAATATTTTATATATCAATTTATCAAATGAAATTATTTTTTTGGATTTTATGAGTTTTTTTAGGCAAAAAATTTTATTGAATTATTTAATGTAGATTTGTGATATATAATTTTTAAATTATTTTATTATTTTTTTAAAGTTATAATCAAATATCCAAATAGAATCCAAATAAATGTGGATACGAAAAAAATAAATGTTATAAATAGATACAGGAATGAAGTGTCATAGTCGCCCCGAACGATATGTTGCGATCCCTACTATTTGCGTAGTGTTTTCTAGTCAATGCCACAATCAAAGTCAAAATTTCTTTGTTCATAAGGAAGAAATGGTTACCATAGCTTTACCTATAAAATTTGTGGACCTTCTTTTTGTTTAAAACCACAGAAGCTATTTTCCCCCCTTTTTTTTGGCCTGCCATTGTAAAATTCAATGGTTGGTATAATAAGATTGGGTTTGGTCTTCCCCACTTTTTATGTCCTCCATTGCTCTAATAAAATGGAATTTTGATTCAAAAGAAAATTTTATTAATCAATTGGCATTTTCACAATAAACTTTTCATATTGGATACACCTTGTTTTTAGACATACATATCTCAAAATAAAATGATTAAATTCTAAAGATAATGTGATTTTTGTAAAAATTATTGAGCTTTTATTCTTGAACCTAAAAATATTTATATTATTTTTTTATATTTAAAATTATCAAAAAATAAATTTTAATAATTAAAATAAAAATATAATATTTTATCAATAGATGATATCGATATATTTATATTGTTTTAAGTTATCTCAAGAAATGTGAGCTAAGATTGTGAAGAGATGATGAAAGCAAGGTAGGTATTTCTTATTTCATTACCTAAAAAAAGAAAACAAGGAAAGAAGAAGAACAAGTCATGATCTAGAGGCTGTTTCCCAGAAACTATCTTGCGGATGGAACATTTTTGTGTGTGGAATTGACATGTATGAAAGTAAATTGACAAGTAAATGGAGAATGGAAAATTTATAGGTGGGAAGAGTACCTCATTGCCAAAATCCAGTAAATGAGATGAAATGTCATCTTGTCTTGGATTATTTCCAAAGCTAAGATGAGCAGTTGTTGATCACGTTCTAAACTGAGCACCACAGCAAGAAAAAGAATCTGGGAAGTGGGAACTTCGAAACTTCCGTTGTCATCTAGTGGCAAGAAATTTCTTTAAGAATGGGATCATAGCTTTTGTAAGGACAGGGATAAGACAATTTAAGGAATAGTATTATTTTGTTTGAAATGAAGAAAAATGGAATTGGTAGAATACAGGTGTCGATGCGGAGCCTCTGTTAAAGGCCATGACAAGAGTCATAAAGTTACTGTAAACCCCTGTCGTCTTCACTTCTTGCAACTTCGACCATCTCTGCCCAACCTCTCTCGTCCAAAAAAATCTGTCTTTGATTCATTCAATATCAAAGTCCTCAAAGTGGACATTTTCTTTTTGGGATCCCTTCTTTGAATTCTTTTCCCCCTTGTATCTACATTTTACTTCCCCTTTTAAAACCCACCTGTCCAAATTGTTCTCCATTACATCTGGGTTTCAGAATTTGAGCCCATTTCTCATTTGGGGTTTGTGGTTTCCCTTATTTCGTTTCATTTCTCTATATTTGTTTGATCACTTTGTTTACATGTTAAATCCCAGCTGGGTTAGGAATTTTTAGACCTTTTCCCATCTGGGTATCCCCCATTTTCTCAGGAAACAAAATCCCAGTTGAGTTCTGCAATTTTGGACTTTCTCGTTTAGTTAGATCTCATTTCTTTGCAGATAAAAAGAATAGAGACCAAATATTTTTTGCAAAATTCACTCCAAATTCTAGGTATCTCTCATTTACTTAGGAAACAAAATTTACTTTGATTCTGCAATTCATGACTGTTTCTTAGATAGTTAGCTCTTATTTCTTTGCTCATAAAAAGTATAAAAATCAAATCTTTTTGCTGAATTTCACTCAAATTCTCATTTGGGTACTCTCATTTTCTGAAAAGTTAACAGCTTTGTCCTTTTTGAAGCCATGGATAAGCCAGCCTTTGATGAATCAACAGCAGTGGCTATAACAGGGAAGATCATGGTCGTAGCTATAATAGTTCTTTTCCTAGTGGTGATTTTTGTGCTTTTTCTTCATCTTTATGCTAAATGGTTTTGGTGGCGTATTGAAGAACCAGCTCCTCCTCCTTCACGCCGCAACCGACGCCGATTTGTCTTTGCTCCAGGGCAAGACACTGCTCATCCTCGACGCGTGACTAAAGGCCTTGATCCCACAATTCTTGCTTCCCTTCCTGTATTAATGTTTCGCCAAGAAGAGTTCAAAGAAGGACTTGAATGTGCTGTTTGCTTATGTGAGCTTGTAGAAGGAGAGAAAGCTAGGTTGCTTCCAAAATGCAACCATGGGTTCCATGTTGATTGTATAGATATGTGGTTTCAATCTCACTCTACTTGTCCTCTTTGTAGAAATCCTGTTGCTGCTATTGAGACTGAGAATTTAAGTTCTGTTATGTCGGGAGATGAAGTTAATAGTTCACATGATGGTTTAGCCTTGGGGTATTCAACAGATTCTCCTAGTTTTCCTACAAATGTGTTGTTTTGGGGCAATCAAACTCAGGTTAGTAGCGGTGGTACGAGTTCGGAAGAGGGTGTATCGGCTTCTGGTTCTGGTACTTTTGCTTCGTCGTCCTTGGCATCTGGTAGTGGTAGGCAAGAAGGGATGTTGGTGATTGACGTTCCCATGAATGTGAATGAAAATTTCCCAGAGGAGGAATCAAAGTCTCCAATGCCTACAAGATTGAGGTCTTTGAAGAGACTTTTAAGCAGGGAAAAAAGAGTGGCTCCTAGTAGCTCAGGAAGCAGTTCTGTTGATGTTTGAAGATATTAAATAGATGGTTGAATTTTAGGAGCTTATTATTTTGAGTATGTATCTTTCATTATCCGAGCAGTAATGGTTGCAGATGATCAAGTTGAACCCTTTTTGTCCTTGAGAAAGGTTCTGTTGGAAAACAACGGTTTTGCTCAATTATACAAGTTGGGCATTTGGTAGCATAGGTGTTGATGATTCTGTTGCTGAAAAAGGTTTTGACAAATGTTTGAAATAGATGATATCTCTGAAGAGAGTGGGATTCTCTTCAACACAGAGATGAAAGAATCTATCTTCTACAAAATATGTATAAAAAACAATTTCTTCTGCGCAAGAATCTGTTTCAATTTGAATCCATCTATTGTGAAGCTATTAATCCAATTCCTCAACATTTTTGTTGCTTACCGTGCCTTAAAATTAAGTTGTTGGTTTGTTACTTAATTGCTCAAGTCTAGATATCAGGTTTGGCTATGTAGTGCTAATATAAAGTTGGGAAAATAGCATACTGCTACTGTTATCTTAGGTCACTGACCTGGTTTGATGGGATAAGGTTTCAAGACCAGACTAGAAACTCAATGAAGTCGCATTCTGAAATAATTGTATAGACATCTCTTAGACTTTGCTTGGTAAGGAGGTTGACAAACTTGTTAATTAATGGTTAAGCTTTAAATAGGAGTGGTTGTGAATCTTAACCATTGGATTAACAAGTTTTCATCATTCCTACTAAGCAAAGCCTTAATGCTGTTTTGAATTACAATAACAAATAAAATTTCTCTTTTTGATTTGTACAAGAATCATATGCATATTGAGTCTCGAGAGTGCATCTTCACTCATCTTGCATTCCTTCCTCTAGCGATCAGGTAAAATAGTTGAAACAAAGTAATTAGCGTGGATTAGCCTAATACCTAACTGCTCATTATGTAAACCAAGTTAATGGGACCATTTAACGAGAATTGTAGCTGCAGGCTGGATTTCATAAATGAAATTGGTTCGGGAGAAGCATTCTCAATTATGCTCTTTGGAAGCAGGTGACAGTGATACTGAGAGGGCTTTTCTGTGAGAAACTCAGCTCACTTCGCACTAAAAATTGCACTATGAAATCATAATGCTACAAGGAAAAATAAGTAAAGCTTATCAAGCGAGTTATCGCTCGGAAATCCTCAAGCAGGGGACTGTTCTTATTTCTTTGATCTGTTCTTTCTTTTCGGTTTTGCCAGGTGGGGCAACATTTTCTTGGCTAAACTAATGTAGAAGCCCCATGTCGAATCCTCTGTCATTGATATACTATGTCACCAAATAGACAGGTCCATAGGCGATGATTTGATAAGGATCGTTAGGCTGGCCAAGACACGTGTAAGGTACCTCATTCTCCACTTTCCTTGTGGGTTGAAAAGTATGGAGACTGGCCCTGATGATAGAGTCCAGCGTGGTGTATCAACTTTCCCGGCAGTTCCGCACAATGGATCAGACCCATTACCTTTAGTTGGCTTGAAAATATTAGGACCATCCACAGGAATCGAACTAGTTTTGCTCTTTCTGTCAATTTTCCACCATGACCATGAGGAGAGAATTTTTCCATGATTTCTTTCTCTTTTTCTCTCCGACTTCTTCTGAAGAGGACCGCTGGAAGTTTATGTCTCTTGCATGTTGTCTTGCTTCTTCTAGAAACTGATCAAAGGGGTCAAACTCAAAGACTCAAAGCCGAAACCAGATAAATTCAAAATATCTAAGGGCATAGTTGCTAACTTCTATTAGCAGAAAACATGTCGCATAAAATTCCTAATAGGAGTTCTGATTCTGAAGGATCAAAGTCTTAACATATTTGTTTCACAAATTTGTCTTTGTTCTTCAGTAAGAAATGAGATACTCTTTTTCTGTCAAAATCAGGGTAGTTTTGTTGCCAAAAGGATAAAAATATCATATACATTCCTTTATAAGATCCCTGGAAGATAAGTCTTACATAAAGAGAAAATGGGAGGGAACCAAAAGGAAAGGTGTTGTGTGTTTGCCTGTGAAAAGTTCACCTGAGGACCAATTCACAGCCAGCATAATCACTTGTCTCATATTTCGGATGTACTGGGGATTTGCTCATGGTTTTTCAGAAGTTACAAAATCCAGTTAGTATAAGCCAAGTTCAAATTAGCAGAAACAATAAAGAGAAACTAGAAGCCATCAGCTGTGTGATCTGGTGATAGAGTGCTGAACTTTTAGTTTCAGTAACCGAGATTCAATATCTATAGTCTTATATATCAAAAAAAGAGACACTAGAAAAGAAAAAAAACGGCTTTTAAATAAAAGGGCATTGATTCATTTAGATCATCTCAAACCTGCTTTTTAGTTTGATACTATAGCATAAATAAATGTTCCCCAATGTAAGAAGTGCTAGCTGGTTTAGGAAACAAGGCAACTAAAATACTAAATACAATTTGGTAAGATGAAGGGAGAGAAGGTGAAATGAAATTAAGAGTAGTATCGTATACCCTTCAGTTGAGAAAGGAAGGCAATGATGTATTAAATTCCAACCATTCAAACGATTTCATCTAAGGCAAGGACCAACCGCCAAACTGAAAACCCCATCAAACCCCTAAATTAGGGATTTGTGGAAATTGAGAAAGTTTTTTGTAGTTGAAATAGCAGAAGCTTTTACATACGTTTGCTATTTAAAGTACAGCAGTGGGGTAGATAGCCTGGTGAATTCACTCCCTGTATTAAATTTTCTGATCTGTTAAGGAATACCGAATGTGATGCTGCAAAATCAGCAGATATGTAAGGCCAGCTATCCAACTTTTTAAACAAGAAGCAAAAGATAAATTGGAAAAGAATAATAAAATGGAAAAGAATAAAATTATTATGTCTTGCTCAAATTAAACGTACTCATCGAGGCTGAGGTAAAGTGTTTCCAGGTAAATTTGGACAGAAATATTTATATTTGAGTGGACTTGATTATTGCTAGGCTTCAGAGTGTAAGGGGGATAAAGTGGAGTTTTCATTCGTATTACAGCGTCGGCCAAGTGGTGGTTTAGGACTTCAAAATGATGGAATAAAAAGAAAAAAAAAAAAAAGGACTGACACTACCATTATAATTCATAAAATGCAAGCTCAAATCAGCAATTAGAAAAACTAATGGTTCATTTGCTCGTTCTCTCTCGCAAAGTCGGTCCATTGGTTGGCCAACCCCCGGATAATTGTACAATTTTCAATGCATGAATCCCGATTTACAGTGGTCCGGGTATGCATTAGAGAGAGAATATAAAACCAAACTTGATAGCTTTAAACATGACACAGTAATATAATATAAAAACGACATAAAAAAAAAAAAAGAAAGTTACACAGATTTAAAATTTTAACAAAAAATTTTTTAGTTAAAGTTTTGTGCTTGCCAACATAAATTTGACATTAATTTTTCAAGTTTTATACACATTTAAAACGATAAAAATACACCCACACGTAACCAAAGCTACCAACAGACCAACTAAAATACGATCAACATTAAAAGCATGTAATGTTTCAACGTCAATCGGTAAATCACCAACATGAACTTAACATGGGAGAAACATCAGGTAAGATCCAACTGACCCTCCTTGGACTCAAACCCTCTATTCATTTTTTCAAGTACACAATAAACCTAATGAGCATTGAAAAGGATTTCCTCAACTAGAGACTATAATCACTAACCACTACGGAATTTTTCCATGGTGTGCCCCAGGTATCAAAGTTGAAGCAGTGGCAACGCCATTACGATACCAAAGATGGAAACTAGCAACAACATCATCCATGTTGGGAATGACTGTTTTCTTTTTCTTCTAGTATCCCTCAGGGTATCTACTTTTTTAACATCTTCCCTTGAAGAGTTAACAAGTTTTTCTGCCTCAGGTTTCGAATTGTCTCCTCGAGGAGATTCTGGTGATAAATGCTCTGAAACAGGCTGCTGCTGCTTGTTGTACTTATCCACATACTCTTGAAACAATTTTCTGAAAGTTGGGCTGCCATAGAAAGACCTCAGATGTAATTCTCAATTTGGAAAGAAATTCCAAGGGACGGTTTAGAAAACAAAACTAAAGGAATATTTTCCTGATAGTAACTGAACCCCTACTGTTGAAAAATAACTTCAAAAGGAAAAAGAGGAAGTACAACTGAAAATGTGCAGAGATTTAGCTAGAAGCAAACTACTTTAGCAACTTACCACTGTTCACATCAGGGGTAATGTAACTGTGCAAAATATATCAGCTAGCTAATAAAAATGTAGAATCTAGGCAACACCAATAAATTAGCTTCAAAAAGACCACAACTAACATGATCAAAAGCATAATCATAGTGGCAGCAAATGGATGAAACTAATTTGGAGAGCTCTAGATCCTCAAAAACAGAAACTTGGGAAAAAAAAAAGAAAAATCCATTGCAGGTGAAGAAATAAACTTACTTCTTACAGTTAAAAGCAAGGGAAGTTTTTGCCAGGCGTTGCTTCTCCGCAGCAGTTGTGTTCACACTGCCAGTGGTAGGACTGTTATCCATCTGCACAAGAAAAAAGCAGCTTGGCATAAGGGCATATTCCCAATGCAAACAGGAAGCATCCACAATTAAACAAAACTGTAGTCTAAATGAATTGAACTACCGGAAAGACAAATACTCACCATGAAAGAGAGAAGCCCTGTGAGTATGCTGCATTATTAAACAGAAAGAATTTTAGCTCATTGGGCTAAAGAAGCAAATACCCTGTGAAAGGTATAGATGTTTAAAAGATTGTGCAACAAAAAGAACTTGCAATTAGACTGAAATCGTCATACCTCGATACAGACCACATAGGGTTCCAACTTTCAGGATGAACTGAAAAAGAAAAGGACCAAGGTTAAAATGAAATCAGTTATTAGAGATAGAAATAAAACAGGAATCTCTAAATTATTTTCAAAAGACTTACAATCACTCATGGACAAGCATATTTTCTTCTGTGTCATAAACCGCCCATTGGGGGTTATCATGCTACATGGAAGAAAAATGCGATTTGATGTTAGAAAGAGCTGTATTTTCTATCATAAATTTTGAAAAGGTGAAAACGGCAAGAAAGTGCATACGTGATTCCGGGAGGTTTGTAGGGATACTCTGGAGGGAACTTGATTTTCCCATAGTAATACCCACCTCAGCAAACCAAATTGAAAAAAAAAAATCAGATTGCAAAATCAGATAGCTTCTTCCACAGTCTAAACGAGCTATAGATAAAATATCCACAAAGTGTCATGAGGTAAACTAACCAACCTGCAAAAGGTGTTCCTTCACTCCCTTCGAGCACATAATCTGAAATAGTGAAGCAGAAGAATTAGATAGATGTCAAAAAAAGTAAAAAACCTACTACATCAATAACATGACTTAGACAAGAAAATTATATTGATTCAATGACAATCAATCCATTGCTGCAAGCCTGCAACCCCATTTAAGTGCAAAAGACTAGAGAAGCTAGGATTACAAGTCAAACAAGAGTAATATCCAGGAAAAAAGTCAATTTTATCATTGAAAATGCATGGGTAGCAGAATAATACGCCATATCAGATATCATCATTACTAGCAACAGCGAACAAATCAACTAACCGTTTTAAGATTGACTTCAAATTCCTTCAAGGATATATCTAGAAGTTTTAATTAGATAAGCTTATAACACTACATAGATTGAACTCATTTCCTTGTACGCTTATTCCAGAAGTCTGCCAAATGAACATGGGCCTTTTGACTCAATCAGATATTTACAGTCCACAACTTAGTTAGCAGTATGCTTTATACACTTGCATCTGACTGACATCCCAATACATAATTGACCAACAGTCAGGTTAATACCTTCCATGAATCACTCTTCAACAGCATTGGCCAACATGAAAACAATCAATTTCCTGCTTTTATAAGGATAAAATCCTAGGATAGCAGGCAAATCTTCATTATTACAGAAAATGTTTTCACGTGATAATTACAGAGCCTTATTTAAAGAAAGGGAATAGAAGAGATTTAATAAACTTACGCCACTCCAAAATGTCATTTGGGGAAGGACGAGCAACAACATGAGAAACCGGTTCCTACAAGTTCATAGAATAACTGTTAAAATTATCTGAGAATAAAAATAGAATTAAGTTACAATAATAACAACAATATCTCATTCCAGCATCAATAGATGTTTCTAATAATATCTGATTTATAAGTGAAGGGACTGAAAAGATATCCAAATGTTTTTATTCTTCAATGGAAGTTAAACATATTGCCGAATAGCTGATTACTAAAACCAATAAAACAGATAATAGACTAACATATCATACAACAAAAAATTCTCAGTACACTGACTATTGATGCAAGCTTTGCAGTAACAGGCTTCATAGACAGGGTACCAGAGGCATAAAATTTTCCTTGTATTAAAACAAGAGTTTACAAACCAGACAGACATATAAAAACCAGAAAATTGCACCAGAGCGAGAGGTTAAATAGATAAGATTAAGAAGATTTCTACAACAGATTAGCACTTTCAGGGTTCAGCAATTCATATAAAAATCACGAGTAACAATAAAAGGAATCGCAGGAAATCCAAGGAGAAAACAATACCTTACAAAGTGCTCTATATTCTTTCTGAAGACGCTTAACACACGATTTCTCTGCCATTCCTCAAAAGCCAAACCTAGATGCAGTCTTGGCCACAACAAAATAAAACCCTAACCGCTGTTTTGGTCCTTCAAACTTTAAATTACAATTATTCACTGACACAAGCAACGTACATTTGTGTTTCTTAAATTACTTTAATTAAGAGCCAATTAATAATAAACAAAGGTTATAAAAAAATTTATACAAAGTAAAATTTTACCTCAGGGTTCCCATTTCCAATTTCATATTATAAATAGTGTGAACTGGAAAATCCATTGCCAAAATATTATCAATTAATTAACAAAGAAATTGTCAAATCTATTTGAACTGTATTTGATTGACCGATTAATTTTGATGATCAATTAATTAAATTTGAAGGCAAAGCCTAAACTAGGATCCACCAATTTAAACCCCTTAAAACGAAAAAAAAAAAAATCAAACAATGAAAAAGCAGATCGATCTTACAATACTGAAATTCAAGGAACAAAAGTTTCAAGTAAATGATTCCAAAATAATAACGAGAAAAGTTTCTTTAAAGAGAGTTACCTGGGGATCTAGGCGGTTGTTTTATGATGCAAACGATAATGGAAGCTGAAATTATAAGTAGAATAAGAGAAGGAATGACGAAAGTGAGAGAGAGTAAAATCTAACGGAGAGAGAAAGCAAGAGAGGACGGTTATTGACGTGATTGGCTTTGCTTTAAATGCTAGTACTGTAGCGTACTACGATTCCTGCTCCCTCGTCCCTTTCCTTTCGACCGGGTTCGAGATTGACTGCTGGAGGATTTTGCATTTTTTTTTTTCTTGTTGTAAAAAGACCTTATCAGGCTTCTTCAAAGCATTTTGTTTGGGATATTGGGGAAAAAAATAATGGGTAATTCTGGCAATGTAAATGTATGTATTATGGTATAATGTTGGTATTTTTTCTCAATTGAAATTATTTTTTATAAAAAAAAAGTACGTAAAAATTTTAAAAAACTATAGTAATTAAGACTATTTAGTTAAAGCTTTAACTACTTGTTTTGTAGTATTAAACATAGAAGTACATTTATGACTCTTTGTTGGAAGTAGTTGTTACGTTTAAAATTTGTTTTTATCATATTTTAAAATTAAACAATAAAAAAAATGTGAGTTTTTAATCTAAAAGTTTGATTTTTTCTTAATCTAAATAAAAAAGTTTCTAAATGTTTTTAGATTTGAAATAAAAAATTACTTTAATATTTTATTAATTTGTAAATTTTTTTTAAACATCTCAATTACTCACAACACTTTATTAAAAATTATTACCATATTTTTAACTGCAACAGTAATATTAAAATAACCCTATAATATCTTTGATCAATTAAAATTTTAAATATAATAAAATTCATGGGTAATAGAAAGTATGACTTATCTCTTTAAAAAAAAAAATTGACTAGTTTTATAAAATTATTATTATGTTTAAAGTTCATATTACTTTTTAATAAAATCATTTAATCACTATTTTAAGATCATTGTAACGTTAAATTATGGAAGCATTACCAAAGACAATGATTTTCTAACCATGATGATTAAATTATGTGCGGCGAGGGAATGAAGCAACACCTTTTGCAGGTTGGCTAGTTTACCCCATGGTAGTTTGTGGCTATTTTTATCCTGCTCATGTCGACTCTGGATTTTGGCAAGTTCTTTTTTGTTGCACCATCTTTTTAAACACCTGTATCTGTCACAGGGATAAAATTCTTTCTGTTTAATAATGCAGCATACTCACAGGCCTTCTCCCTTTCATGGTGAGTCTTTGTGTCTTTCATGTATTGCTAAGTTTATTTCTTCACTTGACTCTATCAAAATGATTTGATGCCAGAAAAGGTTAAAAATATTGGATTCTTGTTATTGCATAAAAATGAGAGGGCAAACCATGACTTTAAAAAAGCAATAGGGAATCGGCGTGCTAGAATTTGAGAATGCAAATTAAGTTCAGAAGGTTCTTTGCTGATCAGGTGTAATCAAATGATCCAACTGAAGAGTAGATGAGTTTAGTGCCACACCAAAAATAAGGTTTCACAGCTTCAATCCCCAGAAACAAACATGCATCGTTATGACAGGGAAGTCGGTTGTTGCATGGGAAGATTCTCATAGGCGAGTAATGACAGCTTCCACCTCTGAAGGGGTGTATAGATGGTATGTTTGTGCTACCCTAGCAATATCAACGTTGTTGGGAGTCACCTGTAACAATAACAGAGAATTTCAGTTAAAATAAAAAAATACATACAGCGTCATCTCAAACTTGCATGCTATTTGATGTTAAACTTTACCTTTTCTTCCATTACTTGCTTTAAAATGGACAGAGCAATTGTTTCAGCTTCTTGAAGAGTTAGGTCCTGCAGGGACAAGAAAATTTCATTGTGAATCAGCACCAAATAAATGAGTGAGTCAAAGCAATGGAACTTATTATCGTGACATGGCATCCTAATTTTAGTTACTTAGAAATTGCTGAACTGGATATCATAAAGCTTTGTAACAAGAGTTGACTCCTTAAATGATCAAGTTACTAAGTTAAGCACTCCCAAGGATGAAAAACAACATAAAAAAGAAGTGAAGTACCTTGTTGTATTGCTCTTGCAAAGAGCTGTCCGCACCTTCAGAACCTGAACCTATAGCTTTTGCGTTGCATTGCCAAAATGTGCCAGATGGATCAGTATAGTACCTGCAAAAGAGAAGTTCTGAACAAGTAAATGACAGCACAAGGAAATATGCATGCCTATAAGCAACATGGCAGCCAAAATTTTGACTTGTGGTTGCTTGGAACCATATTTTAATACCTAAAGGGATCTATGACTACCAGCAGATTATAACTACACTGAAGAATATAGGTTGAAGAACCATGCAACCAGTAGGAACATTAATCATACATCTACAACTGTGAGTTGAGAAGAGACTGAGATTGATCACTTATTTCAAAGTTAATTTAGTGACTATAGTGTTTGATGTGTGACCATGTATGTGATTATGTAACCTTGCAATAATATTGTGCGGCATGGTAGCTACATCACAGACACGATGCATTAGATACCCTAGCTTGTTACAGTTTTAATTCTTAATTTTCATCTAAAACTAGCAGGCAGTACTAAGCATGTATCTTATAATTATATCTCTATTGAATTATCAGCAGCAAATGAATATATTTAGACACCAGCCTACCAGACAGTAATTGTTAATAGGTGGCACTCTTCAGAGAATGGCAGATCCATGACTAAGTTTTACCCAATCACAATAGTGATTATATTATTATCTAGTGACATGATTAACATAAATGTTGGTCCTAAAAGTGGTAGCAACATTACACAAATGCATTCACCTTCTCATTTTGAAAGATATTTTTCCACAAAAAAGCCAACACAATGTATAATTATCTGATACTTACAAGCTAGGCCCATTCTCATCATGACCAGCAATGAGAAGAGATACCCCAAATGGTCGAGACTGCACAGGAAAACGATATCATATGCAAATAAGCACTACAAAGTAATGCAGAATCCTATATTAGATGGAAAAAGAAACCAAACGCAAAATTATAGGAGTCACACTGGGTGTGGTCCTCTCTTTATTGCTTGCTAAGGTGAGAAAAAAGCATCATAGACCAAGAAGCTAAAATAGCTACAACTATATACAGAAAAGATATGCCACTGTACCATGGATTCTTCATCTCCTTCACCAAATCGAAGGGCCAGATCACAGAGAGCTTGTGTTGTAGACTCTACAGTCATTGGCTCACCATATGAGAATCTGTGGTTCTGAGTGAATGAAAATGATATCAGCATAAAAGGTTCATAGCAACACATATGAAAGAAAAAATGGCGCTAACAGCTATGGTACCTGAGTCTCAACTCGCGCATGTTCAACAAGTGTACGTGCATCAGCAATCAACCCACTCATAGCACATCCTATATGCTCATCAATTTCCATAATCTTTTCAACACTGCTGGGTTCCTGGAAGAAACTCAGAAGGTATGATGCCAGGAAGAAGTTGCAACAATACACTTTCCCCAAAAATCTAATATATGTGACACATGCTCAGACCACAATTTTCAAATCTATATTCTTGACGATCAACCAATATTCACATGTTTGTAAGTGAAGAGTGAAGACTTGGTAATTTGTCAGAAGAAAGCATGGCAACTGCACTTCTTTAATTCTTCATGTAACAAAGGCATCCTTTTATATTACATTTTAACAAACAAGCCACAATGAAGCCCCAAAAAAAAAAGCCTTTTTCTTCTGCTACAAACAAGCACAGGCGCACTACACAAAGTAACTAGCAGAAATAATTTGCCAATACAATAACGTCAAATCGAGTAAGAGTGCATACCAACAGTGGTGAAGTGATACGCTTCTCCACAGCCAGCACAACACCGTCTTTCGTCTTAATCCCAATTGCAGTTGAACCCAGCTGCAGTTCAATTAAAAAAAAAAAAACATTTACATTAAAACACACCCAAAATTAAACTACATGATGTTAATATTCTAATGAAAACAAAATTTTCCCTTGAGAGAAATTTAAAGAGTCGATGATTTTCCAAGGAAACAAACAGAAAAAACTGAAAAAGTATTTACCTTGATGGCCTCAATAGCATATTCCACCTGGAACAATCTTCCCTCAGGAGAAAATGTGTTCACCCCACGGTCATACTCAGTCCTCCACAAACCAATCACCAAAAATCAATTTTTATTAAAAAAAAAAAAGAACTTACGAAAATATAGATAAAATAAACACGTTTTGATTTGGTACCTGGTAAGAAACATGTTTGGGTCGATTAGATTTAGATCTAACAAAACCTAAAGAAAAACCCACAAAATTTAGTGTGATTTTAAACAGAAAATCAACCCGAAAGAGGAGTAGTGAGAGAGAAATACTTGTTGAAGAGTATCAGAGAGGGAAAGCAGTAGAGAGAGAGAGATGTCGATGCTTTTTGTAAAGTCTTCTAGTCTTCTTGCAAAACAAGCCAGGACTGGTTTTGGACGAAGTGGGTTGAGATCTGTCCAAATGTTAATGGGCCACAATTTTTTAGACAACAGCTTTTCTCATTACATAAAACAGCCTAAGAATTTTGGGCTTGACTACAACACTTAGCCCATTCTCTTACCATTGGCATTGAGTTCTCATCTATTTGTGACATTGTGTCAATTGTCAGGACTAAAGTCTAAAGAGACTCTTCGTGTTAGCTAATCTCTAGATCCTAGCTAGACCTGTCTGGTCCGTTCTGTTTTGTTTTGTTTCTTCTACTAGTACGTTTGGTTTTGTGGGTTTTATTTTCTGGTGGTTTGCTCTTGTTTTCTTTCTTCATTTGTCATGATGATAACTTTTTTTATCCAAAAAAAATGCGCTTGAAAACATTTATAGTATCTTTTCCCGAGATACTGTGGCAGTGCTTGCTTGACAAATGATGGGTTGATCTTCAGAAAAAGGCTTATGAATCAGAAACCAATAAGACAAAAGCAACGACTGCAAAACTTTTATGAAAGCTCTAGTCTTCTTGCACGCAGAAAATACATGGATGTTGTAGGCTGGTACCTTCGGGTTTTCTTCTTTTTCTTTTTTTATTTTATTTTGAGGGGAAATATATATCTGGTGGTATACGCAGCTTTTGTCTTCTAGGGTGCGGAAACCCAGGTTTGACCGTTAGGGTATGACGACGGGTCAATATATATTGAATACTGTTTAGTGATTGGTCCTGGAAAATGAAACAGGGCAGAACTCTTTTGATTTCAGGGGAGCATTTTCAATCAAGAACTCGTTGATTCGTCAAAATTTATGTTGCAAATGCGAAGAATGCTGTCACCTTCAATCCTAGATTGAAAGATTGGCAAAATCATAGATGAGTAGACCCAAAATCTAGTCTAGTTATAGAGCAGATATGACGATTGAAGTATTCTTATCCGTGTCTTATTATCGTGTTTTTAAATTGTCAGGTGACTTCTGTTCTGCATATGGTGCAATAATCAGTATATGTATTTACAAACAAGTGATCAACCAGTAAAGATTTGGTCTACAAGAACTGTCAGACAAGTTCCTTGTGCTTGTACAAAAGAAAAAAGACAAGTTCCTTGTGGTGGGTCACAACCGAAATAATTCGAAGATAGAAGCAAATGAGTGGAACATACAATCGTCATGTTATTGGCGCAGCATGACAATGGTCAGGGTCAAGGCAATGTCTGTACCATTTGTATCAGAAATGGTGAATTGTTTTGGAAGATGATACCATTTTTTATGGTCCTATCAATAGTTGCTACTATTATTGATGTGATTTTTCTACATGAAAGAGAATGAGGTTGTGGGAATTTCCTTAGAATCTAAAGAGATACGCAATGGAGATTGGAGATGATCTATCTTTTGAATCTTCATTGGCTGCTGTTGTTGCAGGGGAAGCAACCACATCAGCTGTGAACACTGGACAGAAATATGCGAGTTATTTCTGTTCGTTATTTTCTGCGCCTGCGCCGTTGCCCTTTGCATTTGCTCAGGATGTTGTTGCTGTGCTGCTGCTCTCCATTCTTCTGCTTTTCTATGAACATCTGCCATTCTCTTCATTAATTTCTCTTCTAACTTCGATCTCATCTTTTGTATTTTCACCTGAAAAGTTCCGTTCACGAACATAATAAACCAAATACAATGTCAATCCACTAAGAGATTATTGTCACAAAATAGAATAAATCAAAGTAAAAGGCTTGCATGACCCTGAAACTAATCTAGTTCACATAGCACATTCACCTGATGAATATGCATAAAATGCACTGATAAGCTTTATTCATATTTAATTTCATAAAGGTATAGTATCTCAAGCTTTGTTGAATTAAAGATTGAAAAAGTACCTCAAGCTTTCTTGATTGAGCTTCTGCTTTCGTACTTTGAAGGTTCACCAAGCTTGGATTTTTGCTTCGTATCTTTGATGCCTGTGGCTGTGAGCCAATTAATATCATTGCTGATATGCTACATAACACTAACAATGATAACAATCATTTTACCTCATTACCTCAGGCAGCATTTTGTCCTTTCCTCTTCATCCCGTGCAGCGGCTCTCGAATCTTAAACCCTTTCCGGCATGCACTGCCTGTTTCGAAATGCCCAAGGCTCTTTGATACTTCTTCCTCGTCCTCTTTCCTTGAGCTCCAATTGGACGTGATAGATTCATATTTTGTCCCGACTTGTAACTTAGCTAGATGACAATCTTGCAGCTTGGACATGTCAATTGTGCTATTAGAACTATTGGAATTGGCAGATGCCAGTGGACCTGACCTATTAGCGGGTATGTTATGCCGTGCAGGTGATGAGCTCTTGAATGGTGTGTGGCATCTAGAAGTTGTGGAACTTCCTAGGGGATTCATCCTTGTCACAACATCTTTATGATTAACCTCATGGACTGCTTCAGTGTCTGCATCTTTCATGGTTTCACAGACTAATTTTCTGAAAAGAAACCCTTATCTTGAAGGCTCCGAGTATCTGAAATTTGGTAAAATCCGTTCTACCACATCCGTGAACTTATCTACATTAATTAATGAAATAAAATAAAATCAAGTGTTGCTTATATGAATAAAAAAGTGATAATACTAAACATAAGCTTTAAAAAAAACAATTTCACTTAGCATTGGGTAGATTGCTGTAATCACAGAGGAGAATTTTATTGACGAGGAAAAATCGCCTTTCTGGTTTTTCAGCTCGTAACCAAAACAGTAAACATTGAAGAGCCCTTTTCTTCATTATTTATGGAGAGGAAAAAAGAGACAGAAAAAGAAGTCCAAATTGTCAATTCTAGTCAAAACAATGAAAAACCATCCTGGATTTTTGTTCTTATCTGAAAAGGAAAGTAATCAAACAGTGTTTAAAGTGCTATTGAGTTTTTGTAAGGCAAAAAGGAAAAAGAAACTGAAATGTAGTTAGATACGACCTTTTAGAAGGACATCTGTAGAGCCCGGGATTCCACTAAAACCTGTGGTTGGATCATAGTGTTCCGAAGAAACTGACCCTTTAAAGCCTGTGACAACCTTTGTAACTTTTTTCCCAGTGACCCTTGATTTCTCAGAAAAATCTCAATTTGTTGCTTAAAGCTATCACATTGTTTGGTCATCTTTGATGACTCAGGTGGTGGCTTAACGGTATGAGAGGGAGACTTATGGCAACAGATGCTGATTAACCATTTCTCTGCATCATCCCACTTTGAAGGAAAGCTCTTCCTAGCAAGATTGCCACCACCGAAGCTGAAAACTGGTCTATCTGGTGTAGAATGAGCTTCAAAAATTCTCCTTAGTGCAGTGACCGATGAGTTCACTCCTCTTCCCTGAATTAAAACATCCAAAAACCCTCCTCTGTCATCGGTGCTATTGTTTGACGCTGCCATTGGAAATGCCTTGACAAACTCAGATGTCTCCTTGAGATTAAGCTTGCAAAGTGGGTCAGGGAAAGTGTCAGCAAATGGGTTGCCCTTGCTTTGTCCATAAATGCTTGCATTATTCTCCAGTGGTGGTCCCTGAATTACATGAAAACAAATGCTATGACATAAATACAAAAAAATAAAATAAAATAGAAAGACAAGAATAAGACAAATGTGGGATCTTTAAGCACATTACCCCATTAGAAGAAAACAAAGGTGGAGCTTGAAACTATTTGGGACTTGCAAGATCCATGATTTTGTTTAAGATAACTGATTTTGTGCTTAGCTGGAAGAATTTTCTTGGATGTGCAGCAGCAGTTTTTCTTTTTGGTACCTTGGTCAAGTGGGTTTTGCTCAGATGCTTCAGTTTTGATATACTAAAAACAACTGTGTCGTGAGAAAGCTAGAACTAGCGATTTATGTCAGTATCGTTAAAATATTATATTTATATCAAATTTTATCGTGAAAATCGTATATTATAATTTATAATGATATAAAAATATAAAATATATTTTTTTAATTTTATTAAATTTATTTATAATTTTTTTAAAAATTTAAATTATATTACTTTTATATTTTTATTTATATTATTTTTATATTATATTTTCGTATTATATTTTAAATTATCAAATAAATATTTTAAATTATCAAATAAAAAGCGGTTAGGAAGAGAGTTGAACAGAGTTGGCTAACACAAGGAAAAAGCTTTGACTAATAGAAACCATGGACCATTATAATGTTCCTGAGACTCACATGGGATAAGCACTTAAAAAAGCTTTGATCTCTGTCGGAATGCCTCTCCCCGTCAAAATGAAACAACAGTGACACGTTGTCCTAATCTCACAGAATTAGGTAGATAAGCTATGAGACTGAATAGTACATCAAAGGAAGAGGGACTTTGGGAGGTGAACACCATAATTTAACTCTTACAAAGGACAAATGGGGGGGGGGGGGGGGAAGAAAAAATGAAGAATTCTTTTACTCGTGTCATTGATAGACGGGTGGAGTTATTCGATTAAATTTAAAAATTTATTCGAGTTTTAAGGTGATTTAAATAAAAAATTAAAATTTATTTAATAAATTTAAACACAATTTTCAGATTGATTTAAATTTTATATCGAATCTTAAATAAATATTTAAAATTCAAACTATATCCGATTTATGAAAACCTGTAGTCATCTACGGTCCTGCCTTTTTCGAAAGCTTCGTACTAGATTTTATCCCTACGTTAGAGTGAGCATTTCATGGTTCATAGGCTCATAAACTATAGCCATGGCAAGAAAGCACTAGTTAAAACATTTGCCTCTCTATGTCCTTCCCTTCCATGTTACTAAAACCTTTTCTTTTCACCGAAGCACTTTCCATTGCTCTCTTTAGTTTTAGGAGAATTTCTTTGGAAAGAAAATTGATTTTTTGGGGTTTGGATATTTGGGGGCTGGGACAATTCTCCTACTGGAGAAGAATTAGAATTACAGACAGGATTTCGTTGAATAGGAAGTCTACAGGGATGGCCCAGAAACAAGGTTAGATGTTGGATATAGCCCAGGATCCACCAGGTTAGCTGAATTATGAGTTCTTTAAACAGTTAAACTTTAATCTACAGTAATTAGGCTTCTATGTTTCTGTCCAATATACATGATATGAAATTTCCACATATCACAAAGCCGTGGATGTGATGTGAGGCTACATTCTGAGATGATTTTACTCATTTATATTCAAAACTTAAATGATTATCTCAGGCCAATTCAATTCTGTCAAAGCAAAAGCCAATGCAAAAGCCAGCAATTAATAATGGTTTCCATTCTCCGTTAAAATTGATTGGGTGGTGTCAGAAATGTAGGTTCAATGATTGAATAGAGAGGAAGATAAAAATGGTTGGAACAAGATCAAAGTTCTCAATAATGGGGTGAAAATAAAAGTGCTTTCAGTAAAAAAAAAAAATTGAGCCCAATTATGAAAATTTATTTAAAAAATTCAAAATAAAAAAAATTAAAACACAAATAAACGCGAATTAATAAAAAAATTCAATTTAAATGAATTTAAATTAAAATATTTTAAATTTAAAACAATTAAAAATATGTGATTGATTCTATTCAAACTCATAATAACTTAAATTTAATATTAAAAATTAACATTGACAATTTTTTCAATTATCAAATTTAGCTCTAAAAAATCAACCAGAAATTACAAAAATATCCAAACTCAAAAGGATTTGATTGAATTCGTCCGTTTTGCAGCCACTGATAAAATGTTTGATGAGTATAGTTCTTTTTCTTCTGTCACTAAAAATAGACGTTTTGAAGCTGTTTCTGAACTGTCCAATAATAATTATAAAAAAAAATAATACTGAGATTGAATCCAAGCCAGCCGGCTTTACACACGTAGAAATGTGATTGGTTGATAAAACAGATAAGTATTTCCAATAATCATTTTTTATTGGCCTACGTGTAGCCCAAAGCTGCTAATCCAACAAGCATTGACTCTTGAAAGGTATTAAGCGCCACAAGAATTATAATATCTTATCACTTATCCCCTGTGATTAAACATTTTTGTAATCTAGTGCTTACAGTCATGTAGTTCCAAGGTCCCACGTCTCAGCCGATGACACCAAATTACATTAAAAATCAATAGTGTAATTTAAAATTTTACAATTCTTAATATTAATATTCAGTTGATTTATATTATTATTTTTAAAAAATAATATTTAATGAATTTACTATTTAATATTTATAAATTTTTTAAATTATTTTTTTAGGAGAAAATTTAAGGCCTAAACAAATTCTGCTGGTTGATACATATGCTTTACACTATTGTTATTCTTTTGAAGCAATAAGTTTTGCTTTACTTGGGAGAGATTTTGCTTCATGTTAATCTTTGGATGCTAGCTTTTTGATTTTGATTTATCTGAAAAGTTGATATTGATTGACGGGAAAATTTTAATAAAAACAGACAGAGAGTGCAACAACTGAGAAAAGGTCTAGTTGTTGTAGAATAGATGGAAAGCTCAATTATTTTACAGGCAGGATAAGATGAAAACCTGACGAAAGTTCAGTGGGTATAAAAAATTAAGCTGAGGGAATATTTTTCTTGACTTGAATGAATATTATCTTGTTTCCATGCTTTTAAATCTACAACACATTGTTTCCACTTTTCAAATTTCCTTGACTCACTTCTTTTTTTTTCCTCCAAGTCCCATCCTAGTTTCTAGATTTTTTTTTTTAAATTATAAATATTAAAATTTAAATTTATTAAATATTATTTATTAAAATTAATTACATAAATTGATTGAATTAAATTTCAAATTCAATCTAATTCCTTTGAGATGTTTCTAACAATGACAATTCCTTCCAAGTCACTGGTAACTGTTGTGTAAAAAACTAAAAAATCAGTTCAATTTTGGTTGCAAAATTATGTTCCATATTTTTACCTAAACTTGCAATTTCATGTATATCAGACCTGGAAACAAAGGGAATTAATTCTGTGAAAAATTGTGAGTAGACCCAACAACAAATTTGATGGAAAATAAGATGCAGAAACAACAACTAGCTGACTTAGGCTTCATCAGCAGCAACAGGCTGAAGATAAGCAACATGGGACCCACTTACCTAGAAATACAATGCCTACAAAACCATGACAATACATTAACTTCCCAATAATTAAAAATGTTGTATCATTTAAAAAAAAAAAAAACCTAAACTTTGCAAATGCTTTTATAACCAATGCTTTGTCCTTTCCTATGCATTTCTCCTTTCCTTGGTCTTAACATAAACTCACTGCTCTTCCTTTCCTTCCCCTCCTTCCCTGTAGTATGAGATCAATGTCTGTAACACGCTCCTTTCCTCTTCATGTTCCGGTTACAACATCTAGTCCACTTATAAAACGTGCCAACAAGATTGTGATGCTTAAACACAACCAAGTTCCTGGGAAGAAAGCATCTGCACTTCGGATCAGATCCATCTCCAAGAACAAGGTCAATTTCTTTTTCTTTTCTTGTTGTTATTCAAGAAATACCCTTTGTCTTCCGTGTTTCTTGTTATTGAAGTAAGAAACCTTTGCAACTGAACACTACCAGATATACTAAATTCACCAACAATTTTCTGTCGACAAGAAAGTGAGAAACATCACATGGATTGTCTAACCAACATGAATGGTTGGATGTCTGCTTCATCTTTTTAACAGGTTTTCGAGGATCAGTCAGTGGGTGTAATCTGCTATAGAGATGAGAATGGAGAAATAGTTTGTGAAGGGTATGATGAGGGCCCTCGTTTTCGTCAACAGATTCCTGGAACATTTTATAATCTGAGGTAAGAACCCTGTCTCAGATTCCATGTTATGCCGTATTCAAATTACTGTGGCCTGTCTAAAATGTAGTTTTTGCCAATGTTGAACTGACTCTAGAGATGCAGAGATCTTTGATCTTCTACAAAATAGATGGCTTCAAATTGTTAATGGTGGCGGATTCAGCAATGCTAATAAAGGTGCTTTTATTGTGCAAGATGACTTCAATTGGAATGATTTTAACAAATTCCACTAATAGAAAGCCTGGCTATTGCCTGATTCCACAGATTTCATGAAATAATTGTTTCTGCAGCATGTACAAGAAGACACTCGAATTATTAAGATTGTATATAGATAGCAGAGAAGCTCTCTCTTGTTATTACTTTGTTTTTGCATTATGGAGGATCAAAGCTCACAGCCCCTTCAGGTTTCTTGATATTTTTCATGAAATACCTCTTCTGGTTACAGGGTAACAGCAGTTTGAATGCATTATTCTTGCATCCTAAAAGTTGCTGTCTGGACTCTGGACAGCCATTTGTGTGATAAAAGGTCAAATAAATCAAAGCTTGGAACTTTATTATAAATGATATTATTGAATAATTTGATTTCTCAGATTAGCAAAAATTTCAAGTTTATCTCTCCATGTCTAATAAAATAAACTCATTCCTATTATCAGATAAGAAAACATATTCAGCAGATGTTTAGTGCTGGAAACACTTCATAGCCATTCAATTCTGAATCAGCCAGACCAGTTTGTACAAGTAAATGACCCAATAAACGGAATCACAATTCCTTACCACCCATCAGCTTTGACTATTGTAAATGGAAACCTGAACAATTAATGAATAAAATGCAACATGCAATGAAGACTTTGGGAATTCACAAAAGAGTCTAATTCACTGTGGTACATGAAAAAAAAGTTCACATAAAAACCATTTGCATGATGGAATGCTAAATACAAGAATAAATATTTTGTACAAAAATTTCTAACAGAGGTCGTCAAATATTGGACCTCTGAAAGAAATTCCCATGGCTTTAAACAGCCATGTTTTGCGTCTCCTAACAAATAATTATGAAATTCTCTTTTGTTGTGTAAGAAAAATTGCCCTAAAAAGGAACTGGAAAATGGAAATCAATCATATGAACAAGGAAAAACGGAATGGGAGAGTTAGCTCCCAAATTGCATATTCGAATATACACTCAGACTCAGAATCACTTAACTGAGTTCCCAGCTTGTCCATTCTCTTCACCTATATCTGACTGAGATTTGCTTGGAATGGTAGTTGGAGACCATTGATCTGGGATCATTAGAAAATAAGTTGTCATTGCTTTCCTGAACCGAACCTTGTATTGTTTTGGTGAAATTACAGTTGGTGATGTGTTCTTTGGACCACCAAGGATGCCTGAAGCCTTCACCCAAGTTTCAAGATGCTTGTCCCAGGTATACCGCCTCAAGAAATCAATGATTCCAAGAACTAACTCACGCTTCTCTTCATCCACTCCAACCAGTAATGAGTAATCCATCACATCACTTGACTGCAAGATGGAAAAGATAAAGAAATGAGTAAAACCTGATGACATGCATTTTAGTTGATCTAAACTAGAAATGCGTGCTATAGGAACAGATCTCCAGGCATGTAAACTACACCCCCACCCTTCAGGGTCCTAAGCACGCGAGCAAAGATCTAAAACTTACTGCAAGAAAAGCAGTGTCATTCCAGACAGCTCTTTCCAACAACCGCTTTGCTTTATTACCAACAAAAATAGGGGAAGTCGGCATTGATTCAATCAGGTTCTGATCTAGCAGAACCTTGTTGATTCCACTAGAATCAGGATTATAGCGAGATCTAGAAGATCCTTTGAGATCATATAGCCTTGTGACACTTCTTCTAAACAGAAGATTCTCCATAACCAAAACATCCATCTTTGATTCTTTCCCACCTTTAAGATGCTTTGCAGTGACCTTCAAGAAAAAATAAACAATAAGAAGTAAATAATGATTCCAGAAAATACGTGCAATTTGCCACCTATAAAAAGTTAACCACACTCTTAACACCATTGCGTTCCTAAAAGCATGAAAAAGCAAAGGTCTTCTGTCCTTCTTTGTAAGTCCTCTTGATCAATTTCATCCAAAAGTATCAGCAACTAGCATCAAACATCCAGGACAATTTAAATCTTGAAAAATAGATTGTGACCCTTAGAAGTAGCTCCGAGTTTCAAGTACTCCTTCTCAAGCTTTTTCCTTCCTCAAATAGAAAAATACTTCTTAGGTTATATAAATGTCATACACTATGTAAGTATAAAGAGTTAACGCCCATCAGTCATGCCAGAAGGCATATGCAGATATTGTACAGGAGAAGTAGCAATGCTCTCACCTGACTGCCTACGCCACCAGCTAACTTCCAGGTGGATTAAAAACACCTGCTGACTTCTAGGTGGTAATTGTAGCAAAACCCATTTAAGTCGTAAATTGCAAAACTGCATAATTTTGCATATCTTAACTATTTTTTCTCCCATAAAGGTTAAATTTTATAAACAGGCAAGGTTTAATATGTAAGCTTAAAGTTTATTTATGCAAAAACAACCTTATTTCTCAGCACATATTAAACAAATCAGCAGTCTATTAGTATGAAGGCAAATATGAGCAAGTTCCGGATCTGGCTTTCGGTTACTTGGGCATTAATAAGCTATTACGGGAGCCAACATTAAAGAAAATGTCAGGATTTTTTCAGCTTCTTTAAATGATGACCAATAGATTAATGATTATGATATGTAGCATAAAGCATCTGAAGCCCTAGGAACAAGCACCTGATAAATACCAAGAATCTTCGCCAGGCATGTTGGACTTCCAGAACTAATGGATTCAGACAAGTACTTAAAATATCCAGGTGCGAATTTTATAAATGATTCCAACTCTGTCTTTGTGACTTGTTTAATGATGAACCGATCGTCCAAGGTCTTGGCAAAGAAAACATTGCTCTTGCCACCCTGAGCTCCCCACTTCTTACAACGACTCAGAGACCTTATAAAATCTAGTTCTGATGGGCAACATATTCTCCTTAATGCTTCAAACCGCTTCGCATAATAGCAAGTCACGGTATATTTCACTTTATCAAATGAGCCATCATCTCCGAAAGACACCCTGACATGCAAATCCTTCATACAGGAGAGTGGGTCTATAATCAGGAAGCTGCGAGATCCAGTAACGTCATCTGTTGAACCAAAACTTCTATGAGGATCAAAGGTCATTTCATCAACAGAATGGAACAACTGAAAATTCACTGTATCAAATACTGAGGCTGTTAAATCCCCATTGTCTTTAGGTCTATCCCCATCATCACTTAGCTGGAAATGATATTCAGGTGATGCTAGAGCATATGATATAATACTTGCGGGCTCATCATCATAAACTGGAATAACAGTGTCATTAAAACCCAATGGTAAAAGCAGTCTAGCCCCACCTTGCAGTTCCAACTCTCTAAACGATGAAACATAGACCGGATCATACTCACTGAATGTATCAAGCTTTGAAGCACTTCCTAAAAAGTTTTTGTTCAATGCACGGTAGAAACTTAAGAAAGGCATTCTTAACCAACTTACAGAGTCTTCCATATTTTCAGAACCTCTAGTGGACAATTCACGTGACAGAGAACTAAGAGCCTTTGGCCCAATCTTTTCTTCATAACGGTATTCCAAATCTAATCCCTCTGTTACTGCACCTATAGCAGCATTATCTGCAGCAGCAGAATCAGAAAAAGAACATGAATTTTTCTTAGGTATTACAGTTGCTCGCTGAATTTCCCCGGTCCAAGCAGCATCAAGGGTATCTGATAAATTTTCTATGACAGGAAGAAACTGGCCTTCAGACAGGACCCGGCGAACATTTTCCCTAGGTTTCTCACAGTCCAATCCATCACACATGCTCTGGCTAGCAGAAAGATTACCATAGTCTTTGATTCCAAGATTTGAATTTTCACTTATGTCTGGTTCTTGATGGATCAAATCTGACTGATTGGTGTTGCCATTTAATTCTTTTTGGTCAGATCCCCTATCAAGCTTTGCATCCACAAGAGCTGAGTCACAGAATTCAGAGCCTTTTCCTAGTTCCAACATATCCATGTCTTTGAGCTTCTCACCAACACCTTCAGTGAGGGATTTCTCCTTATGTTCTGAAATTGAATTGCTGAAACCATCCTGTAGGCTGTAATTTTCTAAATTGGTTGCAAAAACCAGGCGGTGGTCCCACATATAAGATTGGAAAAGTAATTGACGCCGCAACCGATTAATTTCAAGAATGTCAATAACAGGTTGCCCTTTTCTCACTTCCCTTTTCAAAACCTTTTGCAACGATTCCTAAACCAAGTCCAAGAAAAATAAGAAACCAGACAATAAAAACAGCAATGAAAATTTGACATTTGTTTTTCAGTCAATAGACCTTCTTCAACTCAAAGCATTCCTCCAAAAAGCAAGGCTTAATGGATAAATTCAAAGGGTTATTATGGTGGACCTCCACACACATGAATTTTTCATAAAACATTTGCTGAATATCTAAACATTGTGTATTGATAAGTTCCCAAAATACAGAGATACCAAGATAGCATTTTTCTAACAGTAAGTATTCCTCCAAAAAGCAACGCTTAATGGATAAATTCAAAGGGTTATTATGATGGACCTCCACACACATGAATTTTTCATAAAACATTTGCTGAATATCTAAACATTGTGTATTGATAAGTTCCCAAAATACAGAGATACCAAGATAGCATTTTTCTAACAGTTATTTTAGTTCTTGAATCATCAGCAGTCGTGCATATTTATTTTACACGGTCAACATAATCCACTGGCAATGCAATCTGACATAGACATAAAATCTGTCTTGCTAAAGCAAAAAAGTACAACACATAAATGAAGTCTTACCTTAAACTCCAGTTTCTCCTTTTGTAATATCCTTTCTAGTTCAGCAATTTGATGTCTCAATTCAGATGCTTTCATGATACTGTTAGGTGCCCCTGTGCCAATTTTTTTTTTGGTAATTTGACTTAGGGAATTGAGTACTTCAGAAAACAGAAGCTCTGCCCGGTCAACCACCTGTTTATAATAATAAGATAAAAATAGATTACCCAAATGAAGAGAGATCTAAATCGGCTTCTTCAAAAAATAAAAAGTATTATCCTTGCACCTTATCTGTTTCTTTTCGTATCCACTCCTGATTCTCATAGTCAAAATCAACTTTTGGGGGTGGAAGGTACACAGAATGAACATCAATTGATGCATAACGAAAGCAAGCAACCATTCTCCCAAATCTACAGATATTTAAACAGTGAGTAGAAAAAGAAAGAGATGATGAATGGAGTTTTTTGCCACTAATAATTCGTGCTATTTTATCAGCCAGGTCATGATCTACATCATTCAATATAATATGTCAAATTTATAATCAATTCACTAGAACTTCACGTAGTCTCTGAGACCACTCAAAGAAATGCTATGATTGATATCATCTGACCAAGCAGTCTGCAAGGCCAAAAAGGTTGATTTCAACTCAAAAAGTATAAAATAATGATTAATGACACAATGTGGTGAGTTAAAATTATGGGTCAAGAGCCTGCACAAAAGCTGTGTTTTAGCACATTCTTTGAGAGCAACTATTTGTACTCATATATGACATTTGGCTGATAAATATGAAAACAATAGGGAAAGGAAATTACCCATAGAAACGAAGACAATCTCTATGTAAAGAATGGCCACAGCTTGCAAGCCTGCTTGCAGCTGCATGGTTTGAAAAACTAAGCTCCAAAAACTTCCCAAAAGATAAACACCAAACAGCATCAGACATCACTATTCGCTGCGTGGCCGGAGGAAAACCATTGGTTCTAGGACATTGCAGGCATCTGTGCCACATCCAGATCTTGCCCTCTTTTTCACCGGGTAGGAAAATTTCAGGGAGTTTCTTAACAGATATGGTGAGGGTTCCTTGTCGATGAGTATAACAGTGAACGTGTGCTTCCGAAGGCATGTCACAAGAATGGCATCGGTGACTCTGAAAAATTATTAGTCTCCGTAGTTTCAATTAAATTGCTGGGGTCTGTATGATGAAATATATAAATGTGAGGTAGAGAAAGTTTACCTGATCGAATAAATGATCCCGTAAAAATCTACCCAAAGGTTTATCAAAACTGCCATAGTACTTGATTCGAAAGAGATGGGATCTTTCGCAGACAGTCCCTTTCCACACACACCGTGATGATAAAGAAACCAAAATGCTCTGATTGTCAGAGGGTGATGGAGGAAATTCTTCTTTTAATGGTTTTGGCTCCTCAGAAAGGTTATTATGGTTTTTACCATCTTGTTGCACAGATGATGCCTCTGAAACACGTGGCTGAATTTCAACTGCTGCGCTAAGATTCTCTTGGTCAATGTGTGCCATAGAAAATTGTTGCAAAGACGCTAATGGCCCAACACTACTAAAAGTGAGATGATTACTCATGAAAGCTGACTCACTTTTGTCGACAAATACTTCCATTATTGAGGATTCTTTGGGACCCATTTCATTTTTCTTGGAAAATGCATCAGAAATAACTTTCTCAGTAGTAGATGGTAAAAGGGCAGTTGACTCTATAGAAGTTGATCGTGCAGACAACAAGCTTGAACCATTAGTTAAACAAGATGGTGGAGCTTCTTCTGTCTTCTGAAAATTACAGTTGATGAGTGAGGATGACGGATTTAAAGTGGGAGTACTGTTAGCTCTTTGGAGTTCACTACTACGTTGAGGTTCCTGAGACATTTTATTGGCGGGAATAGTAAAACCAGTAACTGTTGATGTGGAACTCACAATGATTGATGGTTTATCCTGAACTGCCACGGTAAGAGGAGAGTTCAAAGGGAATTCTGCCAGAGGGGCTCCTTCATCAGCAAGAAATGACGTCTCCCGAGCCAAGTGATAAGCTGCAAAAATTCCATATTGGACCACATGCTTGACCTTCTTCAGTTCATCTCCATTTGCGCCCCTAAGTAATATCTGAAGCAAAATATTTATATATTCAGTTAGACTTATAAAATGATCCATCATAGCGATAAATTTCATATAGACCCACACCGTTGGGAACACAAATATTATCTCCACAAAAAAGTCTGAAAATTTTAATTTCATCTCCTGATATTTTCCATTTCCATTTCCTTTTGTTTTTGGTTAGTTTGATGACTTACAGTAAAACCCAATGGCTTTGGGCAGCCTTCAAAATACATCAAAGTCTTGACCAATTTCTTGCCTCCTCGTCCAGCAGAGCCAAGATCTTCCTCAAACCTCTCAACATGGAACTTTTCACAGTAACCCAGCTTCTGAGAAGAAAGATGATCAATTGAAGGGATTATTTGAGCACCTGTGCAACGTGCAACACGTTCTAACAATGGCCTCTTGATATTGAGAACAAGTGATATGTCTTTTTCAAGAAGATACTCCTGGACAAATCGAGAAACTGATTTCTCTACCAGAAGGATATTGGGTTGATGCGCATGTATCTTTGCTACTGCCATCTTCAAATGGTCCATTTCCTGGTTAAAGATGTCAAACCAAATAACATAAAGACAAAAAAAAAAAAAGTAGCTCGAGAAAATAAAAATCAATAATCCTAAACAGAAAGAAACGTATAAACATGAAAATAGGTTATACCTGCTGCAACAAAGTATCAAAACTAGACAATAGGTTAGAGACCCGCTGGTACTCAAGAGATCCACCAAGGATCAACAACTTAGGTTTCTCAAATTTCGAAGTCATTCGTCGATGAGCAACATTTTTCTTGCAAACAACTCCTTTGACAACCATACTATAAGAACCACGGCAAAATCAGAAATAGAAAAAGGAAAACGTTGACAACCAGTGCAGCAGTATAGTTGAATCGGGATGTTATTATCATGCAGCAAATGAAAGTGATGAAAGTGGTGCAACTGATAGTCTAATGTCAACAATGCACTATTATGAAAACTTGCAGTTTAGTCATAGCTTGCGGTAGAAGAAAGAATGGAAGGGAGGTAGCAGATCGTGCCACATTTAGGCAGGGGCAAACATTGAGGTTCCTAAAATTAAAGCAGAGGTGTCTCCACCTAATTGGCAAGTCACTCCTGACATAATCTTCTAATTCTTTTGTTTTTCTAATTTTTTTATGAGTAATTGATGACTATCTCAAGTTGCTGCGCTATATGTGAATGTGGACAAATGGAGAAGGAACCATTCAAGTAAATAAATTTTTTTTACTTTTTGCTCATGTTTTAACAGTATCTATGGCTATTAGTCACGTAAGATTGTTGATTGATCCATCTCTTATTTATTATCATAGATGAGGAGAAATGAAGAGTTGAATTGATGTTGTTAAGTAGCATATCAAGAAAATCCTAGCACAAACTTCTTTCATTTATACATGAGTTATTAAAATAGGAACCTGCTATTCAGCAGCAAGACTTAAGGCCTCAGTCTTCACTGCATTCATATGCTGAAACCTTAAAGAGAAAATCAAAGGTTGATGTAGACAAAAGAGATTCTAAATTCATTAGAACAAAATGGCATAATGGGTCATATAGAAACATTTATATCTTGTGTGGCATTTACCTCTCACAGCGATGTCCAGAAGCTATGCATTTCACTTTAACATATCCACCAGGGTCCATTCCTCCTCCTTTCCTTGTGTATGGCTTCAAAAGTGTAGCAGCCTCCAATGAAAGAGCAATGATGATCTCCAACCAGCTCTCTTTATCATTTTCATCATCCACAGGGATGTTCTCAACCTGTAAAAGCTGAGCTATCAAAGCCCTAAAATGTCCATCAACTATATTCTTCACGGCTGTCTTGTGCTCTTCACTTGATCTATCCCTAATTAGAGACTCCCCACTTCCAAAGCTGCTTGAGTTCTGCAGATATCCCCACTCTCCTTTAGCATCCCCATAATCATTATCATCATCGTCGTCATCATCATCATCATCATCATCATCATTATCATCAAACAGAGTAGCTTCCTTCTCATTGTCTTCATCTTCAGGTTCAGGAGGGAGCCAGAGAAGTCCATTATTTTCAAAATCTACAGGCTCAGCAGCATATAAAGACGCTGATGTTTCATACTCATCACGAACTTGACGTTCATCTTTCTTCACAAGCTGTGATATTCCTTCTGAACCTGGTGAAGGAAAACTGTGGTTCATTGGAGAACAGCTTAAACTTTTTGAGTCAATATTTTCTCTATCAGGATGAAATTCATGTGACCCGTAGTTGCTCATCTCATCAAAGTCAACAGGGCTATAGTAGCCATTATCTTGAGAGAAATGCTTTGTGTCAGAATCAGACAGATATAAGCTGTACTCATCCTCGTCATCATCACTCCTGATGCCAAAAGAAAAGCAAGCAACAGGTAAGTAATTGGAATAGCACATTAAGACCTTTTTTCCCCAACTCTCCAATTGCTTTTAAAGGCTACTTATTTTTCCTTTCACTTGTTCTATTTCTGTTTTAAAGAGACCTATTTGATACATAACACTGATCAAAAATGAAAAAAAAAATATAACGCTGGTAGTGCTGCACAAACACATGCAAACTCAGGTGTCCAACTCGAAACAGCCTAAGACATATAAAGATCTAAGTTATGCTTGATTGATAGGCATAACCTGAAAATTTTAAGAAAATGCAATTAAGAGTGCAAAGATCTTCTGACCTGTTCAATGAAAACTCATATTGGTTTGAATATGAATCTTCTACATCCATTGTAAGATCATTGCTCCTCTTTGGTGCTCTCTTCCCAGACCTATCCACACTTTTATTCATTGAAGATGGTTGATGAGGGCTGAGAATAGACCTCGGTTGAACTTGTTGATATGGTCTGGCTAGATATGGCACCGACCCAAGAGTAAAACTACTACTATTAGCAGCCCAACTAGATTTAGTGCTGATAAAACTAGTGGCTGATGGTGAAGTACTAAGATCCTGATTGGGCACTTGCACTCCATTAATAGTAGTTATGCCCTGCTCCCATTGCTTGAAACAGTAATTACATACCCGAATCTTCTTCCGCTCTTCTTGGGGAATCCTTGAGTAATTAGATGGTGCAGGAACGGAGTTTTCTGTACACTTGGCACAGAAAACTCGGCCACAGAGTCGACAATGATGTCTACGGTTAAATAATGTGAACTGCGAATCACAATCATAGCATACCCTGCAGATATTATCAGGCATCCAAAAATCCCTCGACACATTAGCAGGCTCTGATCGCCAAGGAAGCCATGACTTTAGTAAAGTAACTAGCTCAGAAAATGTCTTGTTAGGGGCATCCATCTGCAAATGATCCTACTGCCCCCACTCATTATGCTATGTTCATTTGACACTCGTAACAAACCATAAACTAGATAGCATGCAATTCACCCCATATGAAGACACAATCCAACCAAAAGAACTTCGAAAATTCCAAGAATCAAGAACCGACTATTATGTCCACCAATCCACATATCAAAGTAGGCTTTTACTTCTCCATCTCAATTCAAGAATGACCATATAGCACAATAGAAACTCCAAAAAACCGCAGCCAACTTCATCAAACCCTGATCCAAATTAATGCCTGGCAACCCAATCTACTCTAAAATTCAACTAAAATGAATTCAAAATTTTGACAAACGCACCTGAAATTTGTTGAACCAAAAAATAGTTGAAAAATATCACAAATTTGCAACAAAGCAAACTGGGTAAAAGGCCGATCCCTCGGTGACTAAATATATAAGATCAAAACACGCCCTTTCTCATGAACCAACTCATACCTATCTGTCAGAAATCAACCCCACGCGTAAATTGAAAATTCCATCATTCAGAAAAGAAAAATTTTAACACCAATAGAAATATCCTACAACCAACAACAGATAGATAAATCAATCTTTCCTTTCTCCACAGATAAAAACAAACAAATTTATACAACATTCACGTTTATATGTAAAACCGTTTTACCTGAAATCACCAATCAATCAATCAATGATCAATCTCTTCGAGAATGAAGCACCCAGCCAATAGGTTCTATCCACGTAGGCAAACAGACCGTTATAAAGAAAAAAAGGGTAGGTAAAAGCCAAATAAAAGAAAAAGCCCCCATAACCCAGGATGCAATACCTTCTCAAGAAACCAATAAAACGATAAAATTGTTGATCTTGATCATGAAAATCTCGTTCTCAATATCAAATAAAGGAATCCAATTATTCTATTTGACAAATTTTTGTATCAAAAGAACCCCTGAAAAATCCTATGCATTGTATTTGAATCTATGCAAAATAAAATAATCTAGTATATTATATCTAATTCCAATATCAAAATCTACAAAATTGAGTCAAAATTTTCTTTTTTTTTTTTCCTATAAAAACCTTTTTTTTTTTTTTTTTTGTTTTTCATGTTTCTGAATTTGTTGGCAATGCTGATTCAGATTATTTTGTCCCTTAATCCTCGGGCAAAGAAAGCGACTCTCCTTTAACGTGGGGATATGATATGACTGTAGACTCTGATGTATGTAAACAACATTCAATTTTGAGCAGTCAAAATGTTTTTGGTTGTGGAAGGACAAAAATGACCTTGAAAGAGTTTGTAAGAACGGACAGAGATTTGTACTTGTGTTGAAAGTTTTCGCTTATGTTTATTTAAAGACAACCGTGCAACAGAACAGAAGACGAGACTTTGAAGGGTCAATCATTTGCGGTTTTTCCGACACTGACGCACTTCAACGCTCAAGTTGGGTTGGTTTTTTGGGAGAGCAAATATTTTTGTAATTTTTTTTTTCATTAAAGAAAACAAAGAGTTTTACTTGTGAACAAAGCATTCAAATTTCATAGTCCATTGAATACAAACATATTTCTTTGGTTGTGAATAAAACAAAGTCATAAAACTTTCAGAATTTTGTATACAAAAGTCTTTTTCTTTCCTATTTTAGTGGAAAATTAGGGAGCCCTAATTAAATATTATGAAAATTAATTAGAAACTAGATATTATTGGACCACCTTAATAATACCAGAAAATCATCCTTTTTTTGTGGATTCATATCTTAGATTTTAGAGTTAAATATAAAAAAATCCATAAATTATAATTAAATAATTGTTTAAATTTACTTACTGTTTTATTACAATGAATAGAACTTTTAAATATTTATTTTCATTTAATTAAACTCTTAAAAATTGATAAACTCTAATTGAATGAAAATTACTAATGAAAATTAACAAATAAAAATTTAATTAAGTAAAAATAAATATTTCAAAATTTAATTTATTACAATAAAATAAAAAGAATTTATATATTTATTTAATTTTAATTTAGGGTTTTTTAATACTTAAGCCCTGATTTTATATATAGAAACTCGGGCTAACATTTAAGATATATCATAGAATTGGAAACAAATGATCAGATTACCTTCCTAGAAAAAGCCTTGGAAATTTCCTCAATCATAGTAATTAGACTTAACTATTTCAAACTCAACATGATGATACGACACAAAAATGACACAAAAAAATGATATATGTATTTTAAAAAAATATGTTTCGTATTTTTATTCATGTCAATATGAATTTCGACATGACACAATTTGTGTTGAGTATGTTTTGATTTGTTTAAATACGTAACACGATAAGAATAATACTTTTAATTTAATCTTGTCATATGAGTATACATTTAATATATTTAATACATTTAACATATTTTTTATATTTATTTTAATTTAATATAAACATATAAAGATTATTTTAATTCTTAATCTTTTAATTATGACATTTAATTAATTATATAATTTCATATAAAAATTATTTTAAACATTTAATTATGATATTCATTTATAATTATTAGAAAATTATTTTTTATATTAATAATATAAATACAATATAAATATTAATATTAATCCTATAAATTATTATTTTATTTTTTAATCTTCAATAGTTTATCATTTTAAATTTGATACTAAAAATTAATATAGTTATGTAATATAAATTAAAATTTATATATATTAAATACATATTAAATGAGTATTAAATTTTTTTATTTTTTTAATATATAAATACTTTTTTATATTATTAATATGTTAAATTTATTAAGTTGTAAATGATAGATAGTTTATAATTATTTATTATTTTAATCATGTTTTTATATATATTTATATTATTTGTGTTAATTCGTATATATTTATATTAGTCGTGTCTATTTATTTATATTCATTTTATTCATATTTATTCGTATCGTATTTAAATAAATTAATTATGTCATATCACATGTAATACGTATATTAAACATATTATATTTATATTTAAAATTTAAACACGTTTTATAATTTATATTACATTCATATTTAATAATTCATATTATTATATATATCAAACATAGCATAAAAACACGAATTACTAAAGTCTAGTAGTAACTTCAATCCTTCGATATGTTTTTCCAACCATAAGCGAGGGTTAAGATTGGGAGAGCCAACTGGCACAAATTATTAGTAAGTAATTTGTTTGGTACTTCGGTCCACCAACCATGAACCAACTTCCCTTCTCTGAGAAGCCCATGTTTTTGACAAGGCAAAGGCCTGGGACTGCTGGGACTGGACCTTATTTTTCAAGAAACTAGCAATTGCAAAGCCTCTGCTTCAGTGGTTCAGCATATATTTATAGCGACGCTTGAACGTAATTTTGTTTAAAAATTTCTACTCACTGCTTATTTTTTAGCATTAAATGTATAGCAGACAGCTTAATATTTCAAGTGACAATTTTGCATTCAATGGCTTTGAAATTCATTGCTGGTCATACATCAGTGGAGTCGATTTATGTTTTGTCTCCATGAGCACACTCTCGAGAGAGCTTGAAATTGGAAACGTGAAAGCTTGGTGATCACTCAACCCAGAGAAATGTCCTGACAGATTCTTAAAATCTGAATTTGTTATGAAAATTGTCTCACCTATCTATTGTTGTAGATTCCTTTGGGTACCTATATATAGCATGGAATCCGGTGGTTTGGTTTTGTGTGTGTGAAATGTTAATAAAAACCTAAAAAAAAAAAAAAAGCCAGAAATGAAAGGAAATATAACTAGACCTGTCAAAGTTTTTGGCTCCATTTAGACCAGACTTTGAATAGAGATTTTTGAGTTTGAGCTTAGTTCGATCTGATTATGGATATTAAATTGAGTTTATATTTGATATATTATTAATATATAAATTTTATATATTATCAATAAATCCAATGATATTTTATTAATGAGCAAATGTTAATTTTAAAATAAATATACAAAAATTAATATTTTTAAAAAATTTATTCATTAATGATTAATGAGATAGTATTATTTATTTTAATATATATATATATATAATATTTTAATATATATTTGAAAATTTTCAGTCTTTGAAGTCCTACCAATTGGGTCTTGAGTAGGATCTTTAAAAGACTGATCGGTCTTGATGGCTCGACTACACCTCTGAATTTAACTGCATTATGCGAATTTACCATAGATTATCAAGATTTCTAAACGTAATGGGACTCATTGCATCGCAAAACTAGCATCGGCAACTGGAACTCATGTAAATTTATTATGAGTCAATAGTAACAGAAATTATCAGCAAGAGCTCCAATACTAAACATTATCAGCCAAAGCTATGACTATGGCTTATAACTTAAAAGTCTTAGCAGGCTAATTATTCTTTTCAAGTAAAGTTTCACCAGTTCTGTTCTTTGGAAGAACTTTCTTCCTTAGCTCTGCAACATCAATGTCGTCAAAATGATTCTCTGGAATCCAGTTGCCGGTCTTCGGATCTTTCATCCAAAACGTTTCCTTCTCTGCCGAAATTTCATCCCTCAAATCTGTTTCTTTCTTCATAACTGATGCCACTGGTTGCACTTTCATGCTCTCCGCTGCAGCTGCATAAGATCGTCTACAGCAACAACAACCAGAAACATAAAACAAAAACGGCTGATCTCACGATCATGCATCATGTCAAAAACCAAAAGAACCAAAGAACTTCAAACACGTCAAGCTAAGAAATAAATATGGTAAGAAAACAAGGGTAACAGACACCAAAAAGAAAGAGTAATAAACAAAGACTAACCTGACCAGCTGAATGCTCTTGACGGAACGCTGAGCCATGTTTTTGTTTAGAAAATTAAATGGAGGTTGAGACTTAGGTCATTTTTCAATGTGGTTTTATATTATTTATAACTGCACCTGGCCACAACCAAGGTGGTTGTTGTTGTAAAATAGAGTTTGAGAATATTATTGATTCTTTTCTTTGCATAGAGAGATAGTTATAATGTAGAGAATCCAATATCATTTGGGAAAACAACTAGATTAAAATCATGTGGGAATCTGAATTTCAAGTTTTTTTTTTTTTTTTTTCATTTTTCAGCAATTGATAACTTAATAATATATTTATTATCTTTTGGTGTACAATTTTTCCATCCAATCAATTAAGTGATTTAAGGGAGATTTTGTTATTATTTTTCAAGACTACTATAATAATTTAATTATCAAACTAATTTTATTTTTAAGATGAGTATATTACTTGTTATTTGAAATTATTTTATTTGTCTAACAATAATTAATTCTTAAAAATAAAACAATAACTCTTTCAAAAATAAAACAAAGATAACTATATTTGCTAAACATTATTTTATTTGAAAATACTAAAATAATGATCTATTTTATAATAGTTATATAAGTTAATGATTTCAATATTGTTCAAAGATAATAATTTATATATTAATTTTATTTACTTTCTAATAATATATATAATTAATTATTAAATTTAAAAATGTATCTATTAATAGATAAATTAATTTTTATAATATAAATTATGTAAAATTTGAATAAGAAAATAAAATTAATTTATTAAAATAATAACCAAAGAAAAATATTAGATTATATTATATATAAAGCATTAAATAGTTTAAAAAAGCACACAAATTATTTTTGAACTTGATACAATGAATAATAATTTGAAAATATAAAAATTTATAATATTAAATGATTATAATTTTGAGAGACAAAAATATTTTAATTCATATACTAAATGATTAATATTAATTATTATTAATTTTATACATTACTTATTCTATTAAAAGTTTTTCATTTTTTTGGATAAAGATTAGATTATTTTTCAAGAGAATAATCTTATCATATTCGATAATTCAAGACCATCGTCACATAGGATTTAAATACTTACTAAATAGGATAATTTAATTATCATATATAAATTAGTATGATTTTTGAAATAATCATCTGATATCAAACATCACCTAAATTATTATCATATAAAATTCCCAAGTTGCTATCAAATAGGATGATTTAATTAATCACTCCATACTTTTATCCACCACTTGGAATTGAGAGATAAAGCATTTTTGTTTACTTAAAAATTATAAAAACTTATCTGGGAAGAAATTTTTGTGCGCCGTCACAGTGTCCTATATCTGAATTTTAGCAACCTAATAATAAAACGACGAAATGACAATGAAGCGATAAAAATCACTTGTCACCTAAGCATTGGTGAATTTTCAGTGTATTTGTCTCCTCAATTATTTGGCTTTATATTCTTCACATTGCTTTTTTAATGCATGCATATAGGAGCATTTATTTCACATGCATGTTGGAACATGTATGTAATATGATTGATCACTTAGTTTGCAGCACATGCATTGCAGCAGCAAAAGAATTACGTGAGTAAAGGTAATGTTTTTAAGAATAAAAGTTTACTTTTGAGTGATAATAAATTGTGAATGAGAATATTGTATCATTAATTCCAATGCAATGCATATGCTATACTTCCAGTTTGTTCGAGATAGAAAAGTAATTATACTTCATTGATTTTGAACTTGAAAGTTCTGTCAAAAGTTTATGCTTATTTTTAGTGATTGATTATTAAAAAAAAAAAAAGGAAATTAGGAGCATATACAGTCTCATTCTGCTTTCAGTTAAAACAATTTGGGCTCAGCTGATCAATTATTCCTAATGCAAATTGAATACCAATTGCACATAACAGCGAAAGCCGACATATAAAAGATATGAAATCGGAAAAACTGGCATCTTTTTTTCTGGGTGGTTTTTCTTTTTCTCCAAACAGCTTACACATATGGATGATTTTTGTAGGGAATAAGAACATTTGAAAAAAAAAAGGACTTAAATCCGCCATAAATATTGATTTTGAATATGAGAAGAATTTTAAATTTGATTTGAATCCTCAATTAGCTGGTCGTAGGAGTTATGGATTTTTTTTTCATCTAAAGTTAGATTGAAAATATTGTAGCAAGATATATATCTTGAAGTTCAAGTAAAACATATTGGTAATAAATAAAATAACAAACCAATCTACAAACATACTAAATCCAAAGATTGCAAATTCTGATCATTAATTGTGTCAATGATCAAAGCCAAAGTTTAGTGATTCGTATATTAATATCGTATAAAATATTAAAATTTATATATTCGTATCTTATTTTATAACAAAAATTGAATGTCACAATTTATGTCGAAAATATAAAATATATTTTTAAAATTTTGTTAAACCCATATATATATATTACTTAAATTTTAAATCATATCATATTTGTTTTTTTATATATATATATATATATTTTAGATTACCAAATCTAGTTATGAGTAAGAAAAGCACAATTGTTTGATGTCTGGTCAACGATTATGCACTGAAAATTGCCATTTAGAATCAAGATCAATAAAGTATTCTGTCCTTTTTTCAGGAATGATTCTTTGTTTCTGGTCAGGACCAATTTATTGATGTTACTAGAAATAAAAATTAACAAAAGTTGGGATCATAAGATCATCCAACGATGAAAAGAAACTTAATGATTGTAAACGCAAAAGATATTCCCTTGGAACACAATTAACCCCTCACCCCTTACACTACCGGAAATTAAGCCTTTACCGACGGAATTAGGTATGGTTCGTTTCTATCCGGAAGTATAAATTAAGTTCCTCCTAAAGTTCAACATTTTTTATGGGCTATGATTTTAATTAGATTGTATTCCTTCAAAATCTTTCTTGAGATCTAGAGGCGTTTTCTTTAATGAGGATCAGTGCCTGTGTGTTTGGTGTGGTATGCTTGATGAAACTGCTTTCTAATCAAATTGAGATTCATGTTTTGGGTGAAAGCTATTGAAGGAAGGTTATGTATGGATGAAATTGGTTGATGGAATGAAGAGCATTGCTGTTGGTACTATGGTATCTAAGCTTAGAACAGGGATTGTTTGGACAAATCCTATGGGGGATGCTTTGAAGTTTAATGTTGATGGATCATCTGAAGGCAAATCTGGACAGGTAGGATGTGTTGATGTTCTTAGAAATTCTTCAGGAATTATTCTTGGATTATATATGTTATGGACCTTTTGGTATTATGGATTCTAATGTTGCTAAGCTAATGGCTATAAACACTACTTTAAAGGTATTCTTCATGTCTCCTATCAAAAATTTTGTCTTGATTGTTGAATCTGATTCGAAGATTACTATTTCTTAGCTGTGTAATTCTGAATCAAGGCCATGGAATGAATGGTTGACAAGCTTAAAGTAGAGATTGAAAATGTTTCATTTATCTATTCCCATGGGGAAGCTAATTCTTTTGTTGATTCACTAGCAAAGTTGTGGTGGATAGAAATGAATTTTTTGTTGCTTGGTTGTAGAGTTGTTGGTGTTTTCTTATGCTTATATTCTATTTTTGTATTACGCTTGTGCTTATGTTGGCAATCGATCCTTTTTCTTAAATCCCAGTCTATTTATGAACTATTTTATTAATAATATCTTTTTATATTAAGCCCCAATAAAATCAGATCAACCCCCCCCCCCCCCCAAATATTGATTTAATTAGATGGCACATAATTAAATTAAGTGAGCTGTTTAATCATGGTAAATAATTAAATTTACTTGCTCGAGTCTCTCTCTATATATGTGATTGTAGATGAATTTAGACTTCCTTAGCGTCTACAAATGAGATTTCGTCTTGATGTTAAAAAAAAAAGTCTTGAAATCATTAAGTTTCAATATTCAAAATTTATATCATGCATGAATTTACTCTAATTTTTTATTACTTTATTTAATTTATTGAATTTTTTATATTAAATGCAATAACGATGTCATATAATTGTTTAAAAAAGTACTTTCAAACGCAAAAATAATTTTGGATTTACAAATGAATATCTTATTTCATAGTATAAATATATATATATATATATATATAGTTGCAATGTTCTTTCATATTGTCTTTGTCATTCAAATTTGTCTTTGGAGTATTCCAAATGGCAATTATGGAAAATAAGAGATTTGAATCCATGGCAACAAAAGAATTAATTTCCAGACATTCTAATTTGAAAACTAAATCGATACTTTTGTTTGCCAAAATATAGGGAAGACGAATCCTAATTAAGCTCTTTCATGATAATAATAATAACTTTTAACAATCAATCCAATATGATCGATCACCTCCTAGCCTTTGGGTGTGTGCTGGGTTTCTTCTTCTTCATCCCTGTGAAAAACATTGTTGCCAAACATTGCAGGCAAGTAGGATTATTGCAATGCATAGTCAAGATTTTATATTTGATGGTTGTACCATTTTGGTGCATGGTTCTTCCATAGTTGCTCTACAAGTTCTGAAGACAGCAGCTGTAAGACAGAAGGAATGCCAGACAGAACAGGATTACGATTATCTAATGAGCTGGACAAGCTTGATGTTCCTGTAAAGCTTCTAATAGGCTCCGCTATGGCATAAACTATGGATGAGGCGGTGGATATGGTATTTGTTTGGGGCTGGATGCTACTGGTGGAGTAGCTGAAAGTGGGGGTATCATACATAAATATGATGGGGATTGGGGACATACCGATTACCGACATACCAGATTGCCTTGATGGCGCATAGCATGAACAAACCTTTTTATGTGGCTGCTGAAAGCTACAAGGTGATTAAAGCTTCGTTTCTTTTTCTTTTTCAAGTATCTCAACTCGGAAATTATCCTGTAGGCTATATGCAGGGGAGGATGCAAGTGTTCAAGTGAGGTATACATTAACACATTAAAATAGAAAATTTAAAAAATTTTGAAGGTCTATTTTCTTTTAAATACCTTTTAAAATTTTTTAAACACTTAAAAAATTTTCATATGAACACTTCAAAAATATTTCATGAACATATTTTTTCAATACTTAACTATACTCCACATCCAGCTAATTAAGAACTAAAATCCAACTTAAATTTTCATCTAAATCATAAAAAATCAAATACCCATTTCTCATTAATCATTTACCTTTTCCTTTAAATTTTCACCTAAATAAAAATAAAATATTTAATAAAAAAATAACCCAAATTTGTCTCAGGTCATTTAGTTCTTTTTCTTCTCAAGTTCTATTCCTCTTCAATTCCTAATTCTTCTAAATAAAACCCAATGTTAAATTTTCACTCTTTTTCTCACTCTCCTCACTCTCGTCTCCCCTCTCTGGTCTGTCTCTGACTCCTTAACCCTCTACCTTCAACCCACCCAGCCCTCAAGCACCCAGGCCAGGACCCAGCAAGCGGCAGCCCCTGGCCTCTGCCGCCTAGCTCCAATGCAGCACAAACAGCACAAAGTTTCATCACCCGCTACCACTCACCAATTATAAGTGGACGCTTTCCAATGATTTTAGGAAAAAAAAAATAATGTATCCGCCACTAACCTATATGCAACATATCTAAGAAAGAATGGATATAGAATAGAAATGAGGGTTTTTGGATTAGCGACTAGCATACTCACATGTCATATTTTTCTTTGTAGTTCGGCCGTCTTTATCATTGGACCAAAAGGATATGGGTCCTGCCTGACGCCCCATTGAAAACATCTGCCCGAGATTACATTCCTCCTAATATCTTTACTCTTTACTGATTTGGGTGTTCTTAGTTCTTACTCCTTCAGTGGTTAGTGGTGAGCTTATTCAGCTATATCTATAGTGACGCTTGAATGTAATTTTGTTTACAAATTTCTTCTCGCCGCTAAAATTTTAGGATTAAATGATAGACAATTTTGCATTCAATGCTTTAAAATTCTGGACTGGTTTATGCCAAATAGTAAATATTTTATATATGTTGTCTCCAGAAAACACATTCGAGAGAGCTTGAAATTGGAAAAGTGAAAGCTTGGTGATCAATCAACCCAGAAAGATGTCTTGAGAGATTCTTAAAATTTGAATTTGCTATGAAACTTGTCTCACCCTATTGTTGTATGTGAAACTTGTCTCACCTATCTATTGTTGTAGATTTCTTTGGGAATCTATAGCATGGGATCCAGTGGCTTGGTTAATAAAAACTAAAATAAACAGAAACAAAAGGAAATTTAATTAGATTTGTCCACATGTGAGATTACTCCTAGATACGTGGGTTTGGTCTGATTTGGATCGGATGTTAGATAGAGATTTTCGAACTTGACTTCAACCCAATTTGATTTGGAATATTATATTATTGATAAAAATATTTTTAATTAAAAATTATATTTAAAATATTAAAATATTAAAATTTTAATATATAATTTTGAAAATTTTGGATCTCTTGGATTGACAAATAGGATCTTGGGTAGGGTTTTTAAAAGGCCAATGGTTTGGCTTGTTTCAATCCATGGACATCTCTAAAATCTAAATTTAACTGCATTCTTGGAATTTACCAATTACATAGATTATCAAGATTTCTAAACGCAATGTGATTAACGTAGAAGCCTCATTGCATGGCAAAACTAGCATGGACAACAGGAACGCAAGTATATTTATAAGTCGATAGTAATAGAAATTATCAGCAGAAGCTTCATTACTTAACATTATCAGCCAAAGCTATGCCTATTGCTTATAACTTAAAAGTCTTTGCACGTTAATTATTCCTATTCAAGTTTCTCGAAATTTATTTCTGTTTCTTTGGAAGAACTTTCTCCCTTTGCTCTGCAACATCAATGTCATCAAAATGATTCTCTGGAATCCGGTTGCCGGTCTTCGGATCTTTCATCCAAAACGTTTCCTTCTGCTCTGCCGAAATTTCTTCCCTCAAATCTGTTTCTTTCCTCATAAAAGCTGCCACTGGTAGCACTTTCATGTTCTCCGCAGCAACCACATAAGATCTTCTACAACAATTTAAAAACAAAACAAGAACGATTGATCCCACGATCATTTATCATATCAAAAACCAAAAGAACCAAAGAACCTCAACCATGTCAACCTAAGTAAAATGGTAAGAAAACAAGGGTAAGAAAAACTAACCTGAGGAGCTGAAAGCTCTTGATGGAAAGCTGAGCCATGTTTTTTGTTTAGAAAATTGAATGGAGGTTGAGACTTTGAGTTTTTTTTTTTTTTTTTCGATGTGGTGTTTGAAGGCATAAACGGATTATAAACTATTTATAATTGCACCTACAACCAAGGTTGTTGTTGTTGTAAGGTAGAATTGGAGAATATTAATGATTCTTTCTTTGCATAGAAAGATACGTAATATAGAGAATCCAATATCATTGGGAAAACAACTTGTTTAAACTCACGTGGGAATAGGGATGTCAAGCCTTTTTTTTTCTCTTTTTTCAATACTTAATAATTTTTAATGAAAAATTTATTATCTTTTGAATAGAATTTTTTTGATCCAATCAATTCAGTGATTTAAGACTACTATCATGTAAGATTCCTACTGAAGTTGCTATCAAATAGAGTGATTAATTACTCAATCCAAAAGGTTTTCCAACTCTTTGATTGAGTGATAAAGCATCTTTGTTTACTTGAATTGATCAATGTGAAACGGAATTTGTGAAAAAAAAAAAAACTATAAAATCTATTTTTATTAGGATAATCAACTGATTTATGCTTTATTTGAACGGTTGATAAGCAAATATCTTTATTGCAACAACATGTCATTTCATCTTTAAACCTTTAAGGATTCAATATAAAACGACATGACGGTGATGATGGTGGTGCGATAAGAATCGCTTCCCACAACCATTGAAATGAATCATTATGTACCAGTGAAATTCCAGCGTCTTTTGCTCTCTTCAATTATTCGGCTTTATATTCTTCATATTGCTTTTCTAATGCATGCATATTGGAACATGTATGTAAATATACATGATTGATCACTTAATATGCATCACATGGATTGCATCAGCAAAAGAATTATGTGAGTAAAGGCAATGGATGTTTTTTATTTTTATTTTTTTCTGGGGGGGGGAGGGGGGAGTAAAGGTAATGGTTTTAAGAATAAAAGTTTACTTTTAAGTGATAACAATGGTGAATGAGAATATGATATTATTGATTCCAATCCATTGCATATGCATAGGCTATACTTCAATTTTGTTGCAATAGGAAACCCATTATACTTTATTGATTTTGAGCTTGAAAGTTATGTCAAAAGTTTATGCTTATTGTTTTTAGTGATTGATTATTTTAAAAAAAAAAAAAAGCAAATTAGGAATACAAAGTCTCATTCTACTTTGGGTTAAAACAATTTGGACTCAGTTGGTCAATTATTCCTAATGCAAATTGAATACCAGTTGCACGTAACAGCGAAAGCCAACATATAAAAGATATGAAATTGAAAAAACAGGCATCTTTTCTTCTGGATGTTTTTTCTTTTTCTCCAAACAGCTTGCACATATGGATGATTTTTGTAGGGAATAAGAACATTTGAAAAAATTGGCTTAAATCTGCCATAAATATTGATGCTGAATGTGAGAAGAATTTAAAATTGACTTGAATCCTCAATTAGCTGGTCGTAAGAGTAACATAATTTTTTTTTTTCGTCTAAGGATTGATTGTAACACTTTCAATCTTTTTATTATACAAAAAAAAAATCTAAAAACAGGGAAATGATTTCATGTAATGATATTTAAATTTAAATTTACTGAACATCATATTTTAAAAATACTACATGAACCAAATAAATTAAATTTTAAATTCTTACGATCTCTTCTTTTATCTCAAACTTGATTTGGATTTAATTCTTTCACGAGCGATCTTGCAATCACTTTCAATACATAGCAAGATATATTACAATCACTTTCAATACATAGCTAGATATATATCTTGATGTTCAAGTAAAGCATCTTTTTAATAAATAAAAGAACAAATCAATCTACTCAGCACACTAAATCCATAGATTGCCAATTTTGACCATTAATTGTGTCAATAATAAAAAGCTATGTGTAGCCAAAACTCATCCATTTGTTGTCTAGTCAGCGATTATGCACTGAAAATTGGCATTTAGAATCCTGATCAATGAAAGTATTTTGTCCCTTTTTCACCATTGATTTTTTGTTTCTGCTCAGGACGACCATTAATGTTATACTAGAAAGAAAAATTAGTCCAAGCTGGGATCCAAAGGCCATTTGAAGATGAATAGGAATTTATCGATATAAAAGCTCTTGAAAATAGTAACTCAAATTTTATAAGAGTTTTATTTAAAATTGGATAAATATTATTTGATGAAAAAAAAGATTTGTAAAATAAAAATTTAAAAAGAAATGGATTCTTCATAGTCAAGTTAGTATGATTATAAATAGGTAGAGTTTCTATAAAATTAGGCATGAGAAAAGATATAAAAGAATTATAAGGTTTTATTGGATAAATATCTCATACGACTCCATAGGACTATAGGAAATTAACAATCTTATAGGTGTATATGTTTGAGTGAACTAGAGGAAAATAAGATGGTTTACATAGATATAATACATGGGTGAACATGGGTATATATTTGTTTAGGTTGAAATGCTTCATAGGATTGAAGAGATTGAGAGCGTTTATAGGTATTAATAGCGAGTGAGAATGATTTGATATATGTTTATAATTATTTACAATTAGTAAATCTTTTTTCTTATTTATGGATATAAATCAATTACACTGAATCACGTTAAATTATTATCTCTTGTGTAATTGATTGATTATTTGGTTTTGCTTCCGCTAACATGAATATTTGATTAGATTAGGGTATTTTGGCTTAACAAGTGGTATCAAAGTTGTCGTAATTTCTACAAGTGATTAGAATTGAAGGTTCGAGATATGAAAAGAAGCAAGCCCAAATGAGCTCAATTCAAGAAAGGAGTTTGAGTTCGTATTTTGAAGAACGGTTTGCATGCAACTTAAAGACACATAAAGAAAATTGTTACGAGACTTCTATTACAGGCTAAGCATGTTTAGTATAAAATTGATAATTTGATGTAATTTAAATTAAGGTGGAGATTATTGGGAATAGTAACTCAAATCTCATAAGAGATTTGTTTAAGATTGGCTAAATATTATTTAATGGATAAAAAGACTTGCAAAAGAAAAATTTTAAAAGAAAATGGATGCATAATAGTCTAGTTAGTATGGTTATAAATAGCTAGAGTCTCTATAAGATTAGACATGAAAAAAAATGTAAGAAAGTTATAGGATTTTATTAGGTAGATACCCTTTAGGACCACAGAAAATTAAAGTCCTTATATGTGTATATATTTAAATAGACTAAAAGAGAATTAAATAGTTCACATAAGTATGGTGCATGAGTACTCGTAGGTATGTATTTGTTTGGATTGATAATATTCCATAAAATTAGAAGAGATTGAGAGGGTCTATAAGAATTAATAGTGAGTGAGATTGATTTAATGTATGTTTGTAATTCTCAATAATTAGTAGATATTTTTTCACTTGTGAATATAGGTTGGTTAGATCAAATTATGTTAAACTGTTATATTTTGTATGATTAATTAATCGTTTGATCATATTTTCATTGACTTGGGCGGAGGCATTTTGCCCTACAAAAACATCATATATTTTCCCCAAATATTGATTTAATTATATGGCATATAATTAAATTGCCAAAGTATATATATATATATATATATATATATATATCATAGATGAAATTAGAATTTCATACCAATGAGATTTGGTATCGATGCTAAGAAAGAGGTTTTGAAATCATTAAAGTTTTGAGGTTCCTGTTTTATATCATGTGTGAATTTAATTTAATTTAATTAATTATATATATATATATATATATATTAGTTTGTTAGATTGTTAATTTATTGAATTTTTTATTCTGAATGTAATAATAATGTCAAATAATTAATTGAAAGAGTATCTTGATCTTCAAATGCACAAACAATTTTGGATTTACGGATAAGTATTTTATTTCATATTGTATATATAGTTGTAATCTTCTTTAATTCACAGTGTCTTTGCCATTCAAATTTGTCTTTGGAGTATTCCAAATGGCAATTATGGAAAACAAGAGACTTGAATCTATGGCTACAAAAGAATCAATTTCCAGACATTCAAATTTGAAAACTAAATCAATATTTTTGTTTGCCAAAATGCAGGGGAAAACAATCCTAATTAAGCTCTTTCATCATAATAATAACAATTTGTAACAATCAATCCAATATGATCTCCTCGGAGCCTCTGTGTATGTGTGTGTTGGCTGTTGGGTTTCTTCCTCTTCATCCTTTCCCCTACTTTATTCCAGTTTTCTTCCTTCTATTTTTTTTATGTGATATTAAATTACATAATGAAAAATAATTCTTCCCCCCCCCCCCCCCCCCAATAAATCTCATACTTTCAATTTCAAGAGTCCAAGTCGACGAGACTTTGAAGATAAAAGTCTTAAACTACTTGATAACATTTTCTTTTTTTGGTTAAATATAAAAATGAATTTTAAGTTATACACTTCCCATCAGTTTGATACCTAAAAAAATAATACTATCAGTTAGTACTCTAACTTTTATTTCGTTATTCATTTTAGTACCTAAAACTAATATTGTCAGTCAACTTACTGATGCTATATGAACATTCAATAAAATTTTGATATTCGTTAAAAGTTCAAGCAGTACCACATCATCAATGTCACATTAGTATTAAAAGAAGTTTTAAAAAAAATTTTAAAAATTTTTAAAAAATTCTAAAAATTTTTACGAAATTTAGAATTTTTTAAAAAATTATAAAAAAAATAAAAAAGTTTAAAAATTTTCAAAAAATTCTAAATTTTTTTTAAAAATTATAAACATTCTAAAAAATTTTAAAAAATTCTAAAAATTTTTTTAAAACTTAAAAAAATAAAAATTTTTAAAAAAATTAAGGAAACTTAAAAAAATTTTAAAATATCTCAAATTAAAAAAATCCAAACATTTAAAACAATTATTGAATAATTCAAAAAAATGAAAATTTTAACCAAATAAAATTTTCCTAAAATTAAAAATATTAAAAACAAAAAAATCTAATTTTTTTTAAAAATTAAAATTTTTAAAAGTTGTACAAAATTGTAAAAAAATTCTGAAAATTTTTAATTTTTTTAATCTTACAATTTTTAATTTTTTAAAGAATTTTATTGAATCTTT